ACATTTGTGGTCGAGGTGGTTTCTTTCTTCAGACAGTTTTCAACTCGTCCATTTTTTTGACGGAATAATTTTATATCGGCTGAAACTTATTGTTGTCTTGAGCTCAAAATAAAATAATTTTTGTATGATTGTGATTTTTTTTGTAAGTTGAGGGGGTTTGAAAGTTGCCAATTTGGCTAAATTGGGATAACTATAGCGCGATGTATTTTGTGCTATAAACGCGTTAGCAGAGATTTTATCCGTTTGAAAAAAATGATCCAAATTGAATTGAAGTATGCTAATTGACCTATTAATTAGTTTTCTATAAAGTAAAATTTTCACTTTGTACGTTATATTGCGTGTGAGTGGATGGTTTAAAAAAACTGAAATTTTTTTTTAATTCAATTTTTTTTGAAAAGGTCATTAGTTTTTTTTACACAAACACACTCCCTTTACCTTAAGAGGCAGTCGAAACGTTCAAGGTTTCGCCCTGATACGAGCAGTGTGGTACAACTTTATGTCGGCATGGTATTTAGTTTCAAGCAATCAAATTGGAGCATTCACATTGCTACTTTTTTTCTTTTAGATTGATAATTAAGGCGAAATAAGTACAGCGACCTGAATAATTGTTTCGCCATGTCAATAAAAAAGATATATGAAAAACAAGGCTATAGTTATTTAGAGATTCACCTGAAAAAAGAGCAAACTGCAAAAAACATTTGCTGCTTTTACAAACAGACAAACAGGCAACTACACTTTTTTTATAACGAACATCAAAAATTGACGACTATCAGGTTTTTAACTCAAATAAAAGTTTAGCGTAAAAAATTGGGTCCGTTTTTTTTTACTTTGGATCATTGGAGCTAAAGATCAGTATATAATCTTTTGAGGAGCACAGATTTAAAAATGAGTGCTGGAGATAGATACAAAAAACTTACATGTCTAATGTTTTTCAAGATATACATGCAATTGAAGACTTTTGGGCTTCAATTCCTTGTCTCTGTCTGTTTTCGAGCTTTCATAAAATCTATTTCTTATATTGCTTCCATTTTTGAGGTTTTTTTATTGTTTAGATAGTCAATTTCTTATGAGCGGGTTTGATGAAAAAAGTGTAACGATACCGGCATAGGAGTTTCAAGGATGAAAATCGATTATAATTGAAAAACGTGTGTACCGTTGCAAATTTAGACCTTGAGATTAATTAAATTTTCATTTTAATCAATCATTTTCATAAAGATCAATTTAAAAACCATTATAATTGATTGTAAAGGTTTTCATTTTTTTTCGTATAAACTTAATTTATTCGCTTGTAGAAAAATGTTCTTTCAACCTTTCAACGCTTCTTCAACACCCCCCTGCCTCCCAGTTTACCGCCCTCATTTTTACCACCTCACCACAATGGGGTTAGACTTCTTCCTGTGTCTTAAAACCCTCCTATGTTAAAGATTGAAAGGAGGGGTTTGGGCGAAAGCGCGGTGGGGGTGCTTTAAACGTGAAAGGGGGAGTAAACAAAAACGCTCCTCACCACCGCCCCACATTTCAATTTTTTGGTTTTCTCATTATTCTTATGGCTGAATACGTGATGGAACGATATAAAGTATGAACGAAAAATGTGTTCACCGTGCATAAATTCATCAAATTATGACAACGTAAAATTAATTTTTCAAAAACTGAAAATCAAATGTGGGGTAAAAGTGTAAAAGAGCCACGGCAATGAATAGGTGTATGCGGGAAAGGGGGGCTTTAAAACAAATAAACTACATAGTGGCAAGTTACATTTTTTTTTTCCAATTATGGACTGTGAATTTATGGATAATTCTACTTGCGTGAATAATTCTAGAATATTCCCAGCTGAAAAACAAAACAGCAACGTTTATAGCTTTTAAGGGAACTAAAATAACTCAAAATTATTCTAGAACATTCATAAACAAGCGTTGTATAAAAAAAATGAAAATTATCCTCGTTCGGTTTCCAAAATTTTTATTCATCTTCTCCATCCTTGAATACGTATTACGTTTTAAAGAATTTAACGAATTTAATTAATCATAATTCTACTTGCGTGGATAATTCTAGAATATTCCCAGCTGAAAAACAAAACAGCAACGTTTATAGCTTTTAAGGGAACTAAAATAACTCAAAATTATTCTAGAACATTCATAAACAAGCGTTGTATAAAAAAAATGAAAATTATCCTCGTTCGGTTTCCAAAATTTTTATTCATCTTCTCCATCCTTGAATACGTATTACGTTTTAAGGAATTTAACAGCTCTATAATGCGAGCAAAACAGTTTGAAGCTAAAATTATTTTTTGAAGCAAAAAGTAAATTAAATAAAAGATTGCAAGATTAGTTTGTCATTGTTGTATTCGTTACTTATAATTTTTCCAACTGTTGGGCTATCATTTGGATTCAATTAAAATCTCCTAACTCAGCCACAATTTTGAAAACTATTAGATTACTTCCAAAATTTATTCTCGAAATCTGTGGTTCGTATTATCGTTTATGAAATATAGATTTTGTGCATTCTAGCTCTGAGATTTTTTGAAGATCATTGTTTTTAAATTGTTACCAACCAGTTTCTAAAATTTAAATATTTTTTTGAACCTTTTTGTTGTCTTTCCGCTAGAACTTGCTTTAACATTTGAATTTTTCAGCTGCTCAATTTTTCACTCAAATTTTTTTTTGTATTATGGTGAAAAGCACAATTAAGAAGCTCATATCCGCCTAATGAGCCTCATATAACGTATAAAAATATAACAATAACTGAGGTGCTTCAGTAATAATGTTAAGTTGACGTGATTGGTATTGGCGACATAGAGTCATATAAAAACAAAAACCTCGAATCTATTTTTTTCGACACAGAGAAAACTTGTAAGATGTAAGAGAACGCCGAAAACCGCCAAATATATGGGTCAAAATATTTCAAAGAGTGCCTAGAATTGCCTTTTTTGGCCTGGTTTTTCAAAGTTTTGCCTGCGTTGCAGAAATTTTTGCACAAAACAGGATCTTTCTAGTGATTTGGAAGAGCTCAGAAAATCAAATAGTCGATCTAAAAAAAATTAAAATGTTGACCAAAAATTTAAAAACTCTCGAAAGTCCGACCACGATCTTCTCCTTAAAATATGGATTTAATTTTTTTTATTAATTAATCATAAAAGTTTACAAGCATGATAAAATCAAAAATTATTTTTTATCTTCTCTACGCGCAATGAAAATTACCAAGTAACAAGACTGCTCGGATCGTGTTAAATTTTCCACCTCTTTTCCAAAAGGGGGCGAATTTTTTACAAGGTACAAAATTTATATATGGTTAACATGTTCAATTATTTCTTTATAGAGGACCTAGTTTGTTACAAGGTACCATAGGGAAAAAATAATAAACAAGATCTATTGGCTCGCATCAAGGCAAAACCTTGCATATTCTGAACGCCTTTCAATGCTGATGGATATGTGTCTGCAACAAAATATTTGGAAAAAATGATAACTTTCAAAAAACCGGAAAAAATTCAAAAATGTTTTGAAAATTGTTTAAAGGTCATTCTCTCACACGCTATGCAAAGAACAGCATGAATTCTTTTTCATACAGCAAAAAAATCAGTAGATCAAATGGCATGCCACAACTCAAATAGGATTTCTAACACAGGTTAATCTCCGCTTACGCGTTAATAGTACGAAATAAATCGCGCGTTTACTGTCCAAATTTTGCAAAATTGGCAGCCTTAAAGCATCTGTGACTTTACAACAGATAAATCAAGCTCAAGACAACAAAATCTTCCGATCTTAACTAAAGATAAACAAGACTGCTCGTATCAGGGCGAAGTCCTGAGTGTTCCGACTGCCTTTTAAGGCTTATGGAGCAGTAATAACATTGAAAAGTTGAATGTAAAAAAAAACGAAACACTTTTTTTTTTTTAAATTTGAAGTTTTTTCTGAAAATCATCACCCCACACGCCATATAAAGTACAAAAGGATATATTTCGTTCCTTGTAACAAATCAATTATGGCAAATAAGCTTCTTTCAACCAATTTGGAACAATTTCTAAGACGGATTAACTCTTATCTTACGCGTTAACAGCGCGAAATATATCGCGCGTTAATTGTCCCAAATTGGTCAAAATGCCAATCTTTAAACACCCATAACTTTACGAAAAAGGATCACAGGTAAAATATCTTTTCAAATTTGAGCTCAGGTCATCAATACCTTTCGAATGATTTAAAAAAATCCGTCAAAAATGGCTAGTTAAAAAGTCGAAATTTGTCTGAAGAAAAAAAAACCCACCCCGAGCACAAATATTCCGTTACTTTCGTATCGAAGGTCGGAACAATTACTAATGTTATAGGTTTTATAACTAGGTTAAAGTCAAGGTAACGGAATATTTGTGCTCAGGATGTCTTTTTCTCCGGACAAATTTTGATTTTTATCTAGGAAATTTTGACGGCATTTTTAAAACCCTTCTAAAAGTATTATTGTCGTGAACTCAAAGTCAAAAAGATATTTAAACTGTCTTCATTTTTCGTAAAGTTGTAAGTATCCCAAAGAAGCCAAGTCAAAAACGTTTAAATCGCAAAAAGTTCTTTTATTTTTTTCCTTTTTGAGCTGGGGGCATTATTTTTTGGGCAAAAACTACCTCAGACCGAAATACTTTGTAATTTTCTCGAAAATCGGACGAAAAAAGTCTTTTACCCAGCCTTGACAATTTATGTTCCGTTATAGACATCATCGATCATACTAGCATTTAAGTTTTGTGCACAATGCGGTTACATGTATTCAAGGCTCTTTTCCAGTCCCCCCTTCTGAAATGAATTCGATAAGAATCTAATTAAAATGACTTTCCACACTGGAAACTGCATTAAAACATGTCAGCGTGAACAGGTGAACAAATTTTACAACGTTTCCTACATGCAAAATGCTGCGTGAACAGTTTTTGAGCGGTTTCATTTTATAACTTTACGAGGGGGGTGGGAAATAAACTGGAAAAGAGCCGTATTCAATAACAAAATCTAAAACGTGTTTGTTTTTAGGTGAAAAAACTATGCAGATTAACGCTTGAACAGTTTTTATGAATGAACAGCAGAAAAACTTTACTTTGGTAATCACTCGATTTTTCTGTACAGATATTATTGAAAGCTAAGAGTTGAAAATGAAAAAGTCGACTCAAGGCGTAATCTTTCTTCTGATCAATGCATTTTCGATTTCGAGTGCCAGTCTGCTATTTGTTACATCCGGCAGAGAACCCGCACAGATCATTACATGGGTAGGACTATTCGGAGCTCCACTTAGCCTCACGTTGCTTTCGACCGAAAAATCCTTCAATCCCGTCAAGTTATGTAAAATGAAACAGTTTTATTTAAGTATTCTCAGCGCTTCGTTATTTGGAAGTATTGCGATTGGATTTCATTTTTGGTCTCTGGAGTTTATTTTGCCCTCTGATAATAATATGGTCGGAGTTTTCTTCTCACTTTTTACCTCAGTCATTTTGCAGTCGTTCGAAGACCGAAAACGGCCCACGCTTTTAACAATTGTTTCCGTCTTTTTCGGATTTATCGGGACCGTCGTAATATGCGACCCGAGAACACTTTTCACCGACAGAATCCTCGATTTCCGAACGATTAAAGGAGTCACGATTTGCGCAATCAGTGGAACATGTTTTGCTTGTTTGTATTCAAATATCCGACGTTTCCCAAAAATGCCACCTGAGTGGACTTGTTTATGGCTCATGGTCGGCAATATTTCGTTCGGCATGATTTCATACCGCCCCCTTGCGGCTGATTACCAGACATGCTCAAAACTAGCCATGATTCTATCAGCAGGCTCTTCAATACTGCAAGCACTCGCATCTATATTTGGCTTAAAAGGAACAATGCATACGACAGTTACTGCGCTTTCGGTCATACAACTCTTGGCTCCAGTTTTCAGCTTCTTCGTCCAGATATTCATTCTACCAGAAGGAGTCTCATGGACTTCGGCGGTCGGAATTATTTTTGTCGTTTTAGCTGTTCTGACCCAACTGAAGGTTTTACGCAGAAGAGAAGAAATTATGATCAAAGAGAAACTAAGTTTTGAGTTACAACAAATTAATTCTCGGAATTGAAAAGGATCAAGCTGTTTGCTACCAAATTTGTAAATTTATAATAGTCTCATAGTACAATTATCTATAAATTGATAAATTGAACAGCAGCGATCTTGAACTACAGTCGTGAAATGGTAAATTTATATAGATATTTTGTTTTAAAAAAAGAAGATCATTATCTTCTTTTTTTTTAAACAAAATATCTTTATAAATAGTTTTCGAAAACAAAAGGGCGTTGAATGTGCGCAAAATGGACGCAGTTTGCCCTCTCTGTAGTTTTTCTATAGTTAACTAAAGAAAAAGTATTGGAAGTGCGAAATGCTTCCATTTTTGCACACATTCAACGCCCTTTTGTTTTCGAAAGCTATTCATAACGCTATGACCTGACAACTCCCATGGCTTGAAACACGATGAGTTATGGTACGGAATCTTTTTCAGATTGACTTAACTTAAAAACAGTTGGTCTAAGTGTTGTGTTAAAAATATTGAACTGTTTCAGAGGGGTCTAGGACAACAAGCCGACGGGACTTCAAGCCGAAGGGACTTCACGCCGAAATTAAAACTTTACAAGCACCCCAAAACGCTATTTTATCATCTGCAAAATGTTGCTTTTCTAAAATTTTGGCAAGTTTAGTCCATAATAAGCGTTATTCATGACAATGCACCACTTGTGATTCGCATCCGTTAATAACATCAGCCGGTTTTTGAAATGCATAAATTATAAACATGAAAAATGCCTTCAACCATGTTTTACTTTTCAATTTTCCGGAACATCATTTGGAAGCTTAAATTATATGCAAACGCCAATAACTAGTGAAGAAAGATCATGAAATTCAGAAATTCTTCAAAAAAGTTTTCAAATTGTTCATATTTCACGACTTTATAAGGAATTATTCGGCTTGAAGTCCCTAATTTTACAATTCGGCTTGAAGTCCCGTCGGCTTGATGTCCGGCACCCGTTTCAGAGATGAAAGATCTAAATAATTATTTTCTATAGCAAATAATTGATATCAAGGCATCACTCAAACCTCAGAGGTTGATGAAGAGGAAAAGAAAAATTCATTTAAAAAAAGCGTTTGAACTAAGCAATCGAGCTCAAACAATAGAAAGCTTCAATTCTTAGTGGCAGTTAGCATTTGTAAGGCGTACAATTCGAGACTGTCAGATCATGTCATCGATCCCCTGCCATGGCAATGATAGTGTGTGAGGATGAATTCTCACTTGACCTCTATCTTCAGGCCTATCACACCCTGACTGATTAAGGCTGCAATAATGGTACCACTTGAAAAAGGTAGACGCAAAAAACACAGCCTTGAGTAGCAAAAAAGAGCTACGCACAACAAAATAGCATGGGATTTGGGGAAATAAGAGAATCGGACTATGCTTAGACTGGCCGGATAGCCTTTCAAAGATCCTCTAAGAATCGCAGAAACCACAATTAATTAATATGTATTAACTCCAGAAAACGATCACAATGAAATGAGATAAACACTTAAAATACCAATGATCATCAGAAGATATCAAAATGAGATCGAACGGTACAAAATTAAGAAACATATGAAAACTGCACGAGTTTCTTAAGTGGCGACTATTGAAAATAAAGCTTTTCTTTATTAAACTGTTTGTCATCCTCTGAAATATAAGTCAAAATTAGCGTTGATTGTTGAGATGCAAAACATCCCGCCGTTCATGAATTTCGGTCCCACTCACGGTACATCTCTATTTTTTTTTAATCGGTCAAAGGCTCAAGGTGAGGTGAATCTATTACCTCATAATACCGGACAGTTAAATCTTTTTGATGGCATTCGAGTAAAAAATCAATGATTTAGACGTAAATGACTCCATAGATGGCAAACTTTTTTTTATAAATTGATTTCGCATCGTTTTTTTCCAAATGGCTCTAGTTGAAGACTCTCAACAATCATCGTAACGCCGATGGGCCAAACAAACGGAGAAGATTACCAGTAGGACTCTAGTCTGTACCGGGAACGTTTCAGAATCTAATGGAGTTAAAACTCAGTGGACTCTCATAGTAAATTGCGTAGGTCCGGTAGGTCTACCTATTTGGTAGTTTCTTTTGCGGCAGACCTGAAAAATCTGGATCTAGTTCAATGGCAAAAAAGGGGAGCTGGTTTTAAAATAGTAACAATTGTTTCAAAAAGATTTACCTCTTATTGTACATTTTGTGTCAAACAATTGGTCGATGTTGATCCCGGGAATTAAAATGAAGTAAAAATCAAAAATTATCCTCTTAAGATTAAACAACTGCACCAGTTTTAAGAATCACCGGATTCTACCGTATATTTATCCAAGAAGTTCAAAAAAGAGCAGAGTTACTGTAGAAACGTCTGATAAAGCGCAAAAAAAACTTTGAATCCATTTGTCATAATCAAACTTCAAAAAAAAAATCCTTATTCTGGGTTTTTTTATATCAAAATCAAAATATTTCAAAGACCACTTATTTCTTCTGAGTAGATTTTTTTCTAAACTGATCAAAATTAAAAGTAGTGTGGCAAAATGAGCGCTCTAGGTTCCTTGTTGTTCAAAATATATGTCAATGATAAACAAAAACAAATATGAGATGAAAGAATAACACACGAAAACACATAGACCTCACTCTAACAACGCGTAAACGTCTACCCGGGTAGAGTTTCCGAAAACACGAAAACAAACAGTAATTTGCTCTAACAACGCGTAAGCGTTTTTCCCGGCTGTCCAAAACTGCTATTTATGCAATCTTCGAATATGGAAAAATGCTTATCATAAATTTTTCATGCAATTCTATAAGTATAGAAAAATGCATGAAAGCTTCCTGGCTAGTTCGTTTTTTTTGCTTAACTTCGTCTCAAAGTTTTTTGAGTTGTGTTCCTAACCGAAAGCAATGGAATTGTATGGCTAGCAATTTTGGTCTGTGGAGCTAAGCCGCCAGGGAATTTAATCCGCTGATAAATCCATTATAAATAATACGTTACTAGGCGCTAAGGTTATCTATCTTTTTACTTGGAATAATGTGTAGAGGGAAGTTTTCAAGACGAACTAATCAGCCACATTCGGCGTGGTTGAGGGCGAAAAATTCATAAATTGTTGACGAGCAAGGTGATAGTGGGTTTTGGGTAAGCCGGCCCACCATATTATCAAAATGGATGGGTTATTAATTTTTGATCAGCAACTCTGTGACTATCATTAGTGCTCAAATCACAAAGTTAGCGATGTAGAAAAATGGTAAAAAACAGTTTTTAAAAGCTTTAAACGTTTGGTTGCGGCATCGCAATCGCTGAAATTTTTATAGATTATATTCATGAAAAAGAAACGCACAAATAAGATTCATATTTTGTTTTAATGTTGTAACAATAGCAATATAAGTTGATATATTGCAGATTTTGTAGTCTTCTTTGATCTCAATTGTTTTTTTTGTAACAAATTTATTAAAAAAAGATCATTTGCTAAGTTTTACCTGACAGGGACAGATCTCCCGAGTGATTCAATTGTAATTGAAACTTCAAAGAAATGGGAGTTTATTTTTGAAAGAATTAAGTTGCCGATAAAATCCACATATAACAGCGTTGTATGCGAATTTGCGGCAACATTCAACAAAAATGTAATAAAAATTAACTTTAACTCAGTGCACATTTTGGAGTTTTTTGCTGTCTTCAAGCAATATGAAGCTGTATATGAAATTTTTCCCCAAGCTTGCTGAATTTGTCGCTTCAGGTAAAAAGATCTCAGCAATTTGTTGTTTGACTATAAAAATTTTTATTTTTTTTGTCCAAATTTTGATGTATTCGTTTTTTAGTGATAGTTTTTCCGTCTAGCCGATGGTTTATCTCCCGTATATTCCAAAGCAATGTATTATAGTAACAAACTTTTTTTAAATATATGTGAGGTATGTATAAGTTATAAGTAAATAATAAATTTTTTTGCGCTTGATCAGACGTAAGCAATTAACAACGTTGTTGGGACGATTAGTCAAACGGTGAAGGTCAAGATATTCTGGTATTTTGAAACTTTAAAAATTCGAAGTATGACGTCATATTTCTGAGAAACGTCAGAAACGGCCATTTTAGAGAAAAAACCAGAGAAAAACACAACAACATTAGTTGCGATAGCGATAACAACGAGAATTGTGATTGAAAAACAACGACAGATTGCAGGAATAGCAGAGACCGTTCCGAGTTGCAACTATTGTGTCGCTACAAAAGTTGCAAGGCCGTTGCGAACAACGGTGAAGGGTGGAAGACAGCCTTCCGGAAGGAGAATAAGAGCCTTATTTCCCCGGATTCAGGAATCCGCAGGGGTCTCAGGACTGGAACTTTTTTTAACTTATATAATTTTTTGGCTTCCCTGTCATGTCCTGAGTTGAATTTAATTAACATCTGAATTCATTTTGCTAGAATGAGAAGCTAGGAGTTGGGGGAAAGGATTGATCCATCTTCGATGGAGATGATGATTTTTATCTACTGAACAAAAACAATAATAATTCAATAAATAGTAGTAGCCCTGATTTTAGGAGTGATCTCGTGGTCTGGGGTTGCTGAGACCCAGCCATGAGCTCACTGTTTCTGCATGTAATTAAGTTAATTTGAGTGTTTTGACCGAAGCCGAAAGCAGTAATGTTTTTTGTCGACCCGATGTTAGAAAGACCACCGAAAAGTACTGGCTTGGTAAAGACGGTTAAAAACTTGTAAAGCTCTATTTAGACGTTAGCCAGTCGTCTTAGGACTTAGTTTTATTTTCCGTCGATATATATCTTCCGGGCGAATGTTACAATTTGTCAAGATGTTCTGTTATTTGGGCATGTAAAATTTTTTCAAAAATTTTAGAAAAAGCACAAGTTATTGATGTTGGCCGATAATTTTTTGCATCCATTGGGTCATCTTTTTTAAACAAAGGGGTTACGTGTGCCTTTTTCAGTTCGATCGGGAAAATGTTCTCATTTAAGCAAGTATCTTTGACAAAAGTTAAATGTGGAACTATAACTGATTGATCATCAATGATTTCCCAAGCAGGTACGGTACAAGGTCCGAGAGGTTTTCCAACATTAATTTTTCGAACTTTATCAAAGCATTGCTTCACTGTAATGTGTTGAAAATGGAAAGGTGCAGATTCAGAGGCAGATTTATTGTAATTCGGAGGCTTTTTAGCGCCGAAAAATTCGCCTAAGTTTGAAAAATTATAATTTAAATGATTGGCAATTTTTTTGTCTTGGGTTATCATTTCACTGAAGGAGTTTCGTAGAACTGTAATTCGATTGTTGCCAGAACATGTACCTCTAACTTGGTTAATATATTTCCATTTTTGTTGGATAGTGCTGAGAAGTGAAAAACAATTTTTTGAATGATCGACTTGTTTACTTCTAATCAATTGGCTCATTTGATTATGTAAAAACTGGTACTTTGACCAATTATCGCTTGTGCTTTACTGCGATATGATCTGAGTGAATTCTGTTTCTTAATCATCAATTGCTGACATTCTCAATCGAACCATTCCGTTTTCAACACATTTTTTGGTTCAAAATTACGAACAAACTTTTTTTCGATAGGAGCATGTTGCTGAAGAGCACAAAAACAAGGAACTAACGCTAAAATTCAAATTACCCCGCTAAAATTCAAAAGACCGAACAAAATCCCAAAACGAAAAGTTTTAACTATTGAAGAATAAAAAACTAAGAATTTCAAGAAGCTTACAGGAAAATGTGATCAATGATTACTTAATTTATTATGTAATTAGAGGTGTTTACATTTGATTGGTCAGAAATTTTTAGAGCCTTCTTGAGACATGTTTGTCACTTTTTTAGATCCAGATCTTTAATATTGTAAAAATTTTAATACTGATGATGCACAAAACGATTAACATTTCAAAGTCCTTAAACATGAAATTGTTTAAATGGTAATCAGAAGGTCAAAAGTATCATAGTAACCGAGGTTACAGTCATGAGTCCCTTCATCATGTATTCCAGTCAAAATCCTTGGAATTTTCTAGATATGGAAAAGATAATGATAAAAGAAGATGTCAAGTGTTTAAGTCCTTTTCATTTAAAATCGATACGGGTTACGCTTCTTCAATAAGAACACGCAACTCGACACGAGATAATATAATATACAAGTGTTACAAGTAAAAAAATTCGTCGAAAGTTATTTTGTCATTTATTGTTCCGAGTACGCAAGCGGCGTTCGCAATCTGTATTGCCAGGGAGATTCTCTGTTTTAAAAAGCTGCCTGCTCTGGGTTCCTCAGTGCATATGCTTAGGTTCTTACAAAGCTTGCTCAAAAAAACTTCTGTGCTGGGGCCGGCCGCGCCCTGAATTTCAAAAGCTAGCGGTTGAAAAAGATATCCATCATTTACAAGATCTTTATATTTGTCAATTTTTCGCCCTTCCGCTTCAGCGGCAGCCGTACCAGGGTTACAAACAGACCCGGCATTAATCCTACAAGGAGCTAAGGAGTCTACTACCGTTACATCCCACAAGAGCTGCTTACCATCAGCCCATGGAACGAGCGTCAAACCGTCTGGTCGCTTCTGATCGGTCCTGTAGAGGTGTCGTGGTTCTAAAACAGACGGAATGTGAGTAGATGATAGACTCTGCTTTATAAGGGCATTCAGGTTTGAATGCCTAGAGAATCTCCCTGCACTTTTGAGGCAAGAAAGACCATGCCAACCCTCCTCGGTAACGTCTTTTCCGCACACGCATTTATGCCGTTCGCATATTTTTGATCCTAATCGAAGTCCTATCGCAATTCTGAGTTGTTGGTTCGACAGTTTTAACCTTAAATTTTTGCAGGGGATGACGTTCAACCATTGGGATCCAAATCTATCTTGGAACGCGTTGAACATTTTCACGTCCGTTGGTTCGAGTCGTAAAATCAAGTCTGCAATTTCGCTGTCAAAAATTGGCTCCGTCCAATTTTTTTGGATTTCATTTTCCGGAGCCATTTCAATTTTTCCAAGGTCAAACCACCGTTTAAGCGCATCATCATAGGTTCCATCCACATGCTCCAAACCAAAGATTTCGCTCAAGGCATCTTTCGCTCCTACTGCTGAGGCTAAGAAAGCGGGTAAAGCGAGTAGACGAGCGGAAGAAACGCCCAAGCCACCTTTGGCTGCCGGGAGAACTGCTTGTAAAAACTGGTTATCATCCATTTTCACGTTAGTGACCTTGCATAACGAATTTCTTAGTAATTTATCGTAGCGTTCCAAAAAATCATTTTGCAAAAAACAAGGGCTCGTACGCAAAAAATATAGGAGTTTTGGCATGCTAAAGCAATTTTTCAGGAGGTAAAAACCATAATGCGCGTCTAGTTTGTCAATGACATCCGAGATTTTTTCAAGCTCCCTAATTTTTTCGTCGAGTAATTCTTTTCGGCAAAGTTCGCCGATTGGAGATCCTAAAATGAGGAGTTCTTCTTTTGTTTTTATTTTTATTTTGGGGCATATTTTTCGAAATTGTGTTAAAATTGAGTTATACTGTGTACTAGTAGTCGGTCCCAAAAAACAAAGTTCACACTTCTCAGTGTTTAAGCTCAGGCCGTAAATTTGTTCCGATTTCAGGATGTTTTTAAGGTCCCGGAGTACTACCTTATAGTCGTCGGCTAAATTCCCATCATCTAAATACCAGATGTTAATTTTCGACTCCAACTGTTTGACTAGTGTATGAATTATTTCCGCAAAAAGGGGTGGGGCTTCAGGATCACCTTGCTGAGTTCCGTCTTCTGACATTATGACAGAGCTTCCGTAAAAAAGGTAACTAGGTTTAGCATACGCGCAATAGGTGTAATTATTTAATTCGGGGCGATTTGAAAAAACATGATTCAGCATTGTTTCTCTGTTTAAAGAGTTACAGGCATTCTTAAAATCTAGTTTTAAAAGAACAGTACATTTTGGATTGTCGTCGCGTTCAATTAGGTTTCGAAACGAGTGCGCAGCTATTTCTGCTCCTCGTTTGGTACCGCATCCTACCTGTACGTTTCCGAAAAAATTTTGTCGCTCGGAGAGGGCCTTGCTTCCAGCGCATTTAGACGCGATACGTCTCAGCGTGTTGCCTATGGCAATCGGTCTCAACCCTCCGTCTATTTTTATGAGGGCGATAAGCTTTGCGCCAAAAAAGAAAAGTCTTAGTGGTTCCGGTATTTTGCCATCTCCAATGAGGTTTGTCAGCTTAGTAAGCGATTTCAGAAAATTAAGTCCTGCACTGCCATTCGACTTACTAACAAGATCTTTAAAAATTTGAGGAAATATTTTATCAGGACCTGCTGCTGATCCGTTTGGAAAGGACATTATCGCTTTGTATAGGTCGAAATCGGTTACGAAAAAACTATCCAACTTTTCAGGATTTGGAGCTGCAAATTTGGCTCGCTGCGGGTGCTTAGATAACAATTTTTGATAGTTATCAGTTGAAAAAGGAGCTAGTTTGTCATCCGAAGCAGCAAGCCTTATTCCTCCCTTTACATTTCCTTCATCGAGCTTACTACTTATTAACTTTATTCTCTGCTCGAGGTCACTCAGAGGCGGGCTTGAAACTTGGGGATGGGGTTTTGGAAGTGACACGTCATTTGCTCGAATTTTTTTATTTATCAAAGAGCTCATGCTTGTGGTCTGTGTGCGTCCACTTCTTTTCGGTTGCTCCAAAAAAAAACAAGAACGACGTTAAAAAAATTAGCCATTTTGTAACATCTTCTACATTGTAGACGATGTCATTTATTTTGTCCGACAGATTTTCCGCCAAGGGAACACGCGAGTCTTTTGGTACTCTCTTGAGTACTCGGACATTTGAGATGGCTGTATTAACATAATTGTCTAGCACTAAATCATTACCTATTGTTGCTTTATTAACAGATTTTACATCAACGCATAAAGGACACTGAAACCATTGGGTTTTCTTAGAGTCGCTAAGAGAAATATTTACACAACTGATATGATACCAACTAGAACAACAATCACATTTAATCCAATTTATCAGTCCTGAAGGTTTTAAGCAATCTTTGCTTGTACACTCTTTGTTGTTTTTCCTCATCTTGACGCAGCATAAAGGTAAAAAAAAGATTTTGACTGGACTTTAGGGGACTGAACTAACCCATGATAAGCGGTTAGTGAAAATTTTACAAATCAGCAAATAAAAAAAAAAAAAAGACAACTAAATTAATTTAAAAGGTTAAAAGGCAGCATAAAGGTTAAAAATCCAAAACAAGGAACAATCTCACCCGAGCTCAGTAGGTTCAGCGGCGCACCACCAGACTTCTCAAGCCAGTTCCAGTTCCCCACCTCCCCACAGAAAGCCACTTGACAGACCTGTCTCTAAAGTCCCTCAGAGGGCGCTCCACACACAGGCACAAACATCAAACATAACAAATCTATTTAATAAGTTTATCACAACAATTAGGCTAAAATTGTCCGAAAATGTCCGAAAAAGCGTCCGAAAAATTGTCCGAAAAAGCGCAATCCTTTTGCCTTGCTTTTTTGACATTTCAAATGCTGTTTTGAAAATTCGATTGCATTTCACTGTCTCAAGGTCATAATTTTTTAATACCGATAAAATTGTCCGATAAATTAGTTAAAAATCTTTGCTCTATACTACACTAGTCATATAGACCAAACAATAATCATGAAGACTCTGTCCACACTTATTCTATTTGGTTACAGGACCCCGATTAAACTATTCACTATACTTTTCATTCGTAGAGCCAGGAAAAGTACACGAAGTCTAATTTAAGTGCTTGTCACGTAGTCCCATTTCAGTTCAATCGTTTCAGCTTTTTCAATCTTTTCACCTTTTTGTGCAGGTGTTAGATTTCTCAATCTGGTTGACTTGAGTGATTTTCTTTACTTTCCTTTATGTTATACTTACTTTTATTCAATTTTTAAAATTACAATTTTTTTTACTCCGATGGTTCTTTGAGTGAATGAAATGATGAAAGACTACTAGTGTAGTTATTTCTGACCTCCTGATTTACACTTGAGAGCTCGATCGAAGACAAAAAGCAATGTATGAGTTCTACTTAAAGGTTAGAAAATGACTGGTAGCGTCTCAACTGCTACAGGATTTTTGACCCAGCAACTTACTTCTGACCCGAGTTTATCGGTCAATACAGCTACAACTGGTGCTTCTTCCAGTGTCAATCAAGTTATAATGGCATCAGCAACAGCACAATTAGATCCTCAGTTCAGTTGCGGCACACCGAATAGCTTGCCTAGCTCAGCAACTAATTCAGGCGTTGTCGCTGTACCCTCTACGGGCAAAAATCAGCCAGAAAGTATGCAGATGAATGTTTTCACTCAGCTGGAAGACAGGGGACCACGAAGCATGCAGAGATCATGCAAACTGACAGTTGCAAAATTGGCACTTAAGTAAGAAATACACTAAATCTAAAAGTTGACTATGAAGTAAGTTAAACCAAATTAATACCTTTCGTGGAAGCTTTTCGTGGAAGTAATTTTTCGGATATACTCTGAACAGCAAAAATTGGACCATAAACTCATTAATCTGCCAAATAAACGTTTCTCTATGTCAGACACTTTTTTATGCCTCTCAATTAAATTTGTCGGTCTTCCAAAAATTCGACCTTAAAGGAAAACGGGACCTCAATAAGTCCCATGGTTATCGCCTTCAGCCTTTTTTATAACAATTTCGTAGTTTTTGTTTTGAGCACAGAAATGTTCACATTTGCGATTAGCAAGTGTTCTCAAATCGAAATATAGGCTTTTTTTTCGGGTTAACCACTTGTTTAAAAAAATCTTTTATTTATGTTAACGAAAAATTTAGGGCAGGTTTCGTTAAGCTTTGATTTTCAATTTATGTTTCAAAGAATTAATTTCTACTTGATAAAAACATATTTTATGAAAATATGTGGGATTTGGTTTTCATCTTTTTTCACTTTTCTCAAAAAATTTAGTTTTTCTCAAAAACTTTTTTTTGTTTTTTGATGAGCAAAAGGGTTGTACCAATGGAAAGACCGCTTAGTCTCCTCTTTGCCTGTATATACGCCTAGTGTCTTTTTACCGTACGCCAGTTTCTAGAGCCTTCAAAAAAGTGCTTGGAGAGTTTTTCAAAATTTTTGGATTTTGGTTTCTTGAAAACAACCCTCCTAAATCTGAGAGTTTGTGTTCAATGATAGAACAGGTTGTGGAATGCTTGCGCCCTAATAACTTTGCTCTCTCGAAAAATTATGGCCCACAGAAAAGTCACAATTCTGATTTCTGACTGTTTTTTATTCAAAATTACGGACTTTTCTCGAAAACTATACTCCCAAATCTTAGAATTTTGTTTCAATTGAAAGCAATGGTCAAGTATTTGAATGCTCAAGTATTTTTCCAAAAAAAATGTTGTGACCCTCGAGTCAAATATTTGATTTTTTTTTGTAATCGTTATGAAACTTTTCCCAAAATCTGAGATTTTGGGATCAATGTGGGAAAGAGTTATGAAACACCCGTGTATATACAGCTACGCCGTCATATTTTTTTTTCGCAGAAAAGTTTATGGCCCTCTCAAAGTTCCTATATTTGATTTTTTGATCGTTTTTTCGAAACTTTTTTTTTCTCGAAAACTACCCCCAAATCTAAAATTTTGGGTACAGTTAAAAGAATGGGCTGTGGGAAGCTCTTCTGTATTAGCGGCTATTTCTTCAAAAATCCTTTTGGTGCTCAGAAAACTCAATGTTGTGATGCCCTTACCGTTTCATGAAACTTTTTGACTTTTCTCGAAAAATCTCGACTCTGATATCAAGGGTTTCATCGAGGCAGGAGGTTGTGAGAAGCCTCCGTGCTTTTTTCTTGTGTAAAGGGGCTTCTAATAACCTCATGCCTCGTTTAAACCCTTGATATGCCTCAATTAAGCCTTAAGTCAAAAAAATTTTGTCTTTTGGAAAATTCCAATTTCTCAAAAAATCTCAAATTTAATTATTTTTTTTAGAGAGCCAATTAAGATTTTGTGCGAAGACCAAAGTTTAGAATTTTTGTTTTTACCCATTTTATCCTGCATCAGAACAACAAATTTGGAAAAATCGAAAAGGTGCCTTCAGATTTAGATGGGCTCCTAGTACTTTAATTGAAAATTGTTCTGTAATTTGTAAATTTACCAACTCTGATTTTGAATTCTTTTTTGGTTAAACGGTTTCACTGGGAATTTTGAAAATATCTTCGCCTGTTTCAAAAGTGATGAATTGTCAAAATTTTGACTACAGTTTCGTTTTCGGCTCAAGTTGTTTGCCTTATTTGCCGCCCAATTTTTGATTTTCAATTCTTGTTAAGAATGTTTATGAGCCGCATTCAAGGCAAAGGTATCAAATTTTTGTAGATAGTTTTTTTTGACTTTTTTCAAGTAATTTTTTCAGCGGAATTTTTCAAAAAATGACTTCTTGTAATACAATGTTCTAATTGTATCGCAAATGTTGCCAAGCTCCGCTTCGCCTCTGTTTATGTTCTTGGGTTATCATTTGCTTAGGAGTTAACATCATGGAACTTCTTCGCCAAATACTAGCTGAACTTGTTTGTCAGATATATTGCTCATGACCAGAAATCAATTTTTAAATTTATACAGCGTGAAGCTGCTTGTTTTTCAAAAAAAATTAAGTCTGCTGCTCCTTGTCTTATTTTCATTGTCTGTTAAAGAAAATCTCGATGCCGATCGCTTGCATTGCGGTTTGAGGCTATGCTTTTTAGGGGGTCAGTAGCACATGTTTTTAGTTATACAATGAAACAGGTAAAAGCACTAGTATATGTAGATCATTTTTGACGCATTCCAGAGCTTCGAACCGTACGAAAAGATAGGAACAATATAATTTTTCTTAAAGATTGTTTTTTCATTTGCCATGTAGCGCGTTTGATAATCTTGTGTTTTCATGAAGATTTTTAACGCTTTCTCCTCGTGGAGCGTGAGCTTCCCAAATGAGTTATTCTGCAACTGTGACTCGTAAAATCTCTTCGACATCGCTCCTTGTTATATTTTTTGTTCTTCGCTGTCACTCGGCGTTCTCCTTTGAATTTGATTACTTAAGATTTTTGTAGATTGAGTTTCAGGTTTGATTTGCGTCAACAGTAATCCTTTGCACATCATAAGCACCTTTATGGGGTTAGTTTCAGAAGTTTTGCAAGCATTTCCGTGAAATTGAGACATCATTCTAAGTGCACCGTATTAGTTCTGTTAATTTTTATGCAAGATAAATCTTCATCATTTTTGTTTAAAATCAACCTAAATTGAGAAATACGCGTTCTAAATTTCAAGGTTTATTCATTTTGTCCTGATAATTTACATTAGCACTGTAATTGAAGCATCGATTGCCGAACCAGAACAATACACAAGCTTTTCTGAGACCAAAATGTGAATTAGTGACAATTTGTCGATAAAAACGATGAGGAGCAAAGTCTTAACACTGAGCCTTGAGGCATCCCTCTTTTAACAGATAATTTAGTAGCCAATAAACCATGTCTTCGTACTTAATGTTGACTGTTTTTGATATAGCTCACGAGAAGCTGCAGAAGTGGTCCAGTGATGCAAGTTGCTGCGAATTTCTGTAACTTCCTGTGGCATGCTTTTTCATAGTCGAGTTAAAATGAGCACAAGATAGGTGGTCCATAGCCATCGAAAGTGTAACTAATTTGTTCAATCATTTGTGAGGCATGAAATTCCGAGAAAAGCCAAGTTTCAGATAAACATAGAAAGTGACAATGGTTACACTTCTGTTTTGCATCTTAAAATTCTTAGCTTCTCCGGCACAATTGGTGAAGAGATACCGACTACGCATGGGACGGCTAAGCTTCGAATCTCTGGTCAGGACCTGTGTTTCAAACGGGAAATATTCAGTTCCTTACCGGAACTTTGTTCTTCTGCTTAAGTTTTGTCGGCTTATATGCCACATTACCCAAATTGCTTGTGCTGTATGCTTTTTTTGTTGTAGCTGCAAGTGTTTTCGTTTTTTCCTGTTTTGTAGGTTTTTCTAATCCTGGCTTTATATATTTTAGCAAGCGTTATTAAATCGGAATATAGACTTTTTCTGGTGAACAACTTGATTAACAGAATCAATAGCCAGCTAGGAGGATCACAGACTATTATATTACAGGGTCGGATGTTTTTAATGAATTTTTTCGTATTAGTTAAAATGCGTCTGCTCTATAAATTGAGGCATGTTAGTTTGTATTTTTTTGGTAAATTGACTGGTATTGCTAATGCGTCATAATTGGCCTGCGTCACGTAGTAATTAAGTAGACTCATAATTGACGTGAGTCACTTAAGATATTTTGTAAACTCAAAGTTTTACTCGTTCCCAGTAGCGTTATCGTTCATATTTTTGCTTGTGTATGCAAGTGCAACTTCGCCTCTGTGTTAAACTTTTCTGCGTCTCCAGCACTTAGCCTGAATGTGAAGAATACGCATGGGGCGGCAAAGTTGGGTTCGAATCTGATCCGGAACTTTTTTTTTCAAACAAGAAAAATTCTTTTCCAAATAATGTCGCCCATTGGTTGACCGCTTGTTTTCCGGCTTAGTTGCCGCTTTGTAAATTTGACTTTTTTAATGTAAAATTTTCAATGTAGTTGCTTTTAGTGCTTTGAAGTACTCATGCAATATGTAATTTTACTAGTCTTTACTTCGTATATTTTGCTATTTTTTGCTTGATTTTTTATTGGGTTTAAATGATTTCGGCCTATATTGTATGGGTTTAGGGACCTTATTTGGGGCAATTTCAAGAGAAAGATAAGTTTTATGCTTAATTCCGAATCGCAGAAAATGGAAAACTCTTAGAATAGAAGTTATTGTTCAAAATTTTTCATGACAATTATATTTTCAGTTCTACGGGAAATTATAGAAGTTTCGTCGGCTGAGTTGCCGCTTGTTAATTTTTTTTCGAAATTTCATTAATTCTCGTCGATTGTGTTTCTGGGCGTGTTTGCAGCAAATAGAACATGTTTACAGTCAACATTTTGTATCTTCAAGTTTTTAGAAGGCTTTCACTTTTTTTTTGGATTTTGGCTCTTTTTCTGTCTGCTAGTAATAAATTCAAATTCAATCAACCATCTGGCGTAGAGGTAATACATCTGCTTCAGACAGCACAGGCTTGTGGTTTGAATTCGGCCGGGGTCTGTTTTTTGCAAATTTGAGGTGTTGTAATTTTTCGGGCTATCGTCCGTCAGTTCATTTTTTCGGCTTAGTTCTCGTAACCCGATTTTTTTTAGATACAGCTTTCTTCAAAGTTTTTATAACACCCGTGCTTGACGTCAAAGCACGGGAGTTCGTTTCCACTCGGGTTTTGTTTTTTGCTGAACCTTGCTTAAAAAGAAAAACCTTTCGGCCAATTAGGTTTTCGTCTGTCTGTCTCCTTATTTTTGGCGGCTTAGTTCCCGCAAAAAGGATTTTTTTTGAAAAAGGCTTTTTTCTAGCTTTTCTAAGTTTTTAACGGTGCAGGTAATTTTGTTCTAGACCTTTTGGGCTTTTCTGCGATTTTTGTAAACTTTTATGACTTTTTAATTTTCTATTTTTCGTTTTGTTTGATTTTATTCTCTGTCATTCCTTTTTGTATCGCAAGTGGTGCGAAGCTCAACTTCGCCTCGGTGTTGATTTTATTTTTCCCTTTTCTACTTATTAAGGACTTAATTACTACACTAAAGCCTTGAAAAGAAGACGTCGAAGCACATAAAATTATCTCGCGTGACAACTTTAGCCAAGCATTTCACTATTGAAATCATCAAGGGTATTGCAAAAGATTTCTGGCCTGTTAGAAACTGTGCTCGCAGAGTAGCTAAATTAGAATGGGCAAATTTTCGATAGTGTTGAAAGTCATGTGTGATTGATCTTCGTAATGCCCTGTTGTCCATAATTTATCCGAAATAGCTTAATAGTTCGAATTCCGGACGAAACTTTACTCTGTTCTAGGCGCCCTAAATTGTTTTGCCTCTTTATGTGTTAATTAATTATTCGAATTTTCCCTTATTAGGATTGCGTGCTCTTAATTTTTTCATTCTCATTTTTTTGGCGGTTTGACTGGGATTTATTTTGTAGCGTGCTTCAAGTTGAAATGCGAAACATTACAAATCAGTAGTAATTGGAATCGGAGCTGAAAAGGTGCTTTTGCAAGCAGCCTTTACTTTTCAGAATTCTCATTGGAAGAAGACTCTTAACTTATGATCCGTTTTTTTTTTGCAAATTTGGTTGGTTTTATGACCTTAATTTGAAATAGAAAATCAAAGAGCCGTAATCAAAAAGCCAACAACAACGGGTTCCTTGATCATTAGCAGAGTATTGTACCGCTTAAAGCGAAAGCAGTAAAAAAGCGGCCGATGAAGGAGTATAAGCGAAAGTGGCGACAGAGATGGCAATTTTTCCAAAGCATTAACAAAAGCGGAAAATCAGTTAGAAGTTTGAAACCCCCAGAATTTAACCAAAAATGATCGCACTTAAATTGTTTTTGGTCTGAATAAAAAATTCCATGCATATAAATTTCTTTGCGTTTCTCGAAAGTCGGAATAAAGTGAAAAATTTCTAAAGCAAAACATGCAAAAAATTTAAGCGAATAAGCATTAAGATAATCGAAAAAGCGAAAAGCGATTTTTAAAAAAGCGGCGCTAGCGAAAAGCGATAGCAAAACCTTGATGACAATACTCTGAAAATGATACGGCATGAAGGCTTTGTCTAGAGTGGTAGCTTCAGAACCGACTCTACAAAAAATATTTTAAAAAGTTTTTTTTTCGACCTGATTTTGGGCTTAGTGTCCGATCTTTTTTCAGAAGTTCGGCTCAAGGAGTTACATGGTTATATACAGGTTGAAACACATTTACTGGAAACTTTCACAAAATTTGAAATTCTCAACCCTGGAATTGGGTGCTGTTAGAGTACTCTCAAGGGTTGCAATTCTTGCCTCCAAATATGACTGTTCAAAACCTTGTAGTTCTTGAGATATGACGTGTTTTATAATTTTTTTTTCAATTTCTAAATTTAAATTTGAGAAAAATAACCAAAATTGAATTTCTCAACACAATAGTGGCTTGCTGTCAGGGTAACTTCAAAGGTTGCAAATCTGGCGTTCAAGTTTGACTGCCCAAATCCTTCTGGTTTTCGAGATATGGCGTTTATTTATGATGTTTTTTTTTTTCAGAAAACTTAACTCTATATTTTAAAAATTCAAATGATTTGAAACTCCAAACCTTATAGCGACTTCTCAAACGCTCATAGTTACTGAGATGTGGCGTTTGTTATGGGTTTTTTTAAAGTTGTTCAAAGAACTTAGATATGAAAAACGCTCTGAGTTTTCGAGATATGGCGTTTGATATGAAATTTTTTTTTAAATTTGAAGTTCCCATCTCTATAGTGAGGCTCTGCCAGGGTAGTTCCAGGTGTTGGGAATTTCGCCTCGAAAAATGACTGCTTAAGTCCTTGTAGTTTTGGAGATATGGCGTATTTTGTGATGTTTTCAAAAATCTTTCAGAAAACATAATTTAATTTTTTATCAGAGTATTCCCAGGGGTTGCGAATTTTGCCTCCAAATATGACTGCTTAAGTCCTTGTAGTTTTCTTGATATGACGTTTTTTTGTGATTTTCAGTAAACTATTCAATTTTTTTTTTTCAAATGTGAAATTCCTAACAATTTAGTTAGTCGCAGTCAGAATACTTTCAGGGGCTGCGAATCTTGCCTCCAAAATTGACTGCTCAAATCTTTGTAGTTTTTGAGAAATGACATTTTTTATGGTTTTTCAAAAAAAATTAGAAAACTTAATTTTGAAGTTTCACGAAATTTGAAATTCCCAACGCTGTAGTTGGGTACTGTGAGAGTACTCTCAGGAGTTAGAAATCTTGGGTTTAAATGCGCTGGCTTAAATATTTTTTTTTAGTTTTCGAGATGTGATGTTTTTCATGTCATTTTAAAATGAACTAAGATGTAAAAACTTTATGAAAGCTCTTATTTCTGATACTTTTTCACATCAAATGTGTTAAGAGTTGGGAACTAAAGTTTTTCTTATTTGCAACTAAATTTTCTAGAATAATCAGCAATTGTACTTAACTCATTTTTAAATTTAGTTCTGAATATTTCAATTAGAATACAATTGCCCTGCTTCTGTTGATGTGTACAATCTATTAAAAAATATTAGCTATCAGTAGTGGATCAAACAAATCATTTGGCTACATTACGATTAGAAAGATGAAATTGGACTTTTTTCTGGTGAAAGACAAAAACAAAACTAAATCAATTTTTAGAAACTTAAACGCTCTGATCTAATACGAGTTTTTTTTAACCTAACTTGCGCAAATGATTTTGAATTTTTGTCAATTTCATTATCGAGTGCTTTAGTATCGAGTATTTTATTAGTACTTTTTTGTATTTTGTAGTATTTAATTGTATCAAGAGTCGATGGTGACTTTTTTAAAAGCCGCAATTTTTTTTCCAGAAGCCTTAAAATTTGTTCAGGCTCAAATATACTTTTTCGCGGTTTGATTTTTGATTTCTTTTTGAGTTCAGTTTATTTATTTGTTGAAAGGAAAGCAAACTCCGCTATCGAACAGCAAAAGGTAATGGTCATGAAAAACGTGTTTGTCTTCTTATTTCGAAAATGGAATTTAATTATCAGATTTCGCAGCGAAATAAAAAAGTGTTGTCAAATTGGGTTAACTTTATCAAAAAAAGTGTCAAGCAGAAATTGTCTTTAGAAATTCAAAGAGTTGTAAGGCCTTTTTTTCTCGGAAAGCAAGTCGTTTTTTTTTCTGTTGACTTGCGTTCATTGTTTCTTTTCGAACTGTCTGTTGGCTATGTTCAGCTTGTTTAGAGCCCTAGTATTTATATTTGAATTTGGTTTGTAAGTTTGAGTGATTTAGGTCGCGTGGATATGTTTTTTTTTTTGAGAAAAAGGCTCAAGTTTTTTTTTGCTGTTTAATTTTGATTTCATTTTGTTCAATTCAAATTATTTTGATTTAAAAAAGGTAAATTACGCTCTGCAACTACGAAAATAAAAATGGCGCGAAAAAGTATTTAGTTTCGAAAGTGGTGTATACTACATTTTCGAAAAAGATTACCCAATGACCCGTTTTGTTTCTCTAATTGGTTAGTTTCATGAGAAAATTTCAATCATGAATACATTTCTAAAATTATTTCCAAAGGTGTTAAAATATTCAATCCATTATTTTTTTGAATTTTCTCTTGGTTAAGTTAATTATTTTGCTCAGTTTTGTGTGCTTAGCTGATTCCAATTTTGCTTAAAAGAATTACCAAATTTTTGAGCTGTACTGTTATTGGTAAAAGTGTTGTAAGTTCATGAAAATTTTTCTCGTTTTAGTTGTTTGTCACGACAGAACTTCAAGTTAATTTCATCTGTGCACAAGTTCAATCTACAAGCAAAAATCACTGAAACCTCTAAAAATATTATCTGCCCTCAAAGTTTTGAAAAAAAAATTCTTTTCTTGTTTTTTGATTGATTGCTTCAAATGGATTGACTTTGTCCGATAATTAAATTTGAAAGGATCAACGTTATATAAAATAGATGGTAGATTCTTGCTCTTCTTATCATTAATATTATTATTTTTATTATTATTATTTGTTTTTGTTCGCAAGGAATGCGAAACTCGTTTTCACCTCTGTGTAAATTATCCAATTGTTTCCCTGTTTCAGCAAATCTGTGCAGTCCATCTCTTCACTGACCTCAATCTACATTGCAGTGCAGTTTCAGAGTAACAAGAAGACGTACAGGTCCCCTGAAATACACCTCAACACAGTGTCACCTTCCACACCCTCTAACACAGTGTCAACTTCATCATCATCAGTGGCTGCAAACATCCAAAACATATATGCGAATGCAAACGCACTTGGAAACTTGCCAAGCACGCAACAATCTCAATGTATTCAGTCTTTATCTTGTGGTTCGAATCAGTGATTTACGTTAAACTAGTTGTTACAACTTTCTAAGGTTTCAGAATATTTTAACCTTTCGGCAAATCTAAGATTAATTGTCTAAAATTGATTTTTTAACTCTGAAAAGAGTTTTTAGACAGTTGACCTGATAATAAATTATCAAATAATCTTGTATATTTTTTGTTTAAAAAATGGCATTTCATATAATCGACCAAAGAACTGAAGTTGCTGATTTGGTTAACATGTTTTAATGTAAATAATTAGCTTTTAATATCACTGGTTCGATGTCAGCAACGACTACTAGCTCTTCTGTAAGCTCCTCTACCCTGGTTCCGAGCAGCAGTGAAAGGACAAGTAGCTCCTCTCAACTAAGTAGTGGTGTGGCCTCATCCACTGTGGGCGGTATTTCAAATTCTCAATCGCAGGCAGCACAACAGAGTGTGAACAACTCGGGAGTTGCTGGCCCAATGTTGTCCTCGTCCGATTTGTTCTTCGAAATTCAACCCAACTTCCAGGCTAGTCTATTTTTCTTGTTCTAGATAAAATGAATATTTTTGAAATGAATTTTAGTGACTCAACCCAAGGCGAAGGTTTGCAGATTTGTTAATAGGATCCGGTTAAATTCAGATTCATTGCTTTAAAAATCCAGCTATAAATAATTACACTTGCAAGAGTCTTGTAATCGAAATCAGGAACTAGATTTTTTTCCCGTAAAAAACTTTTCTAACATATTTTTAAGAAATTGTTAAGTTGCTTTATAGTGAACCTCAGCTACTTCGAGACTGCTTCTGATTTAGCCTAGAGGTAAGTGTTTGCTTTTGTACCATTAGGTCTGGGGTTCGAGTCCCGACAGGAACTTATTATTATTTTTTTCAATTAATATGAAATGGCATTTTTTTTCCGGTAAAAATTGAACTGTCGGACTTTCGTTTGTCTGCATATGTTTTTTCGGCTTAGTTGCCGCATCGGGTAATTTTTTTGTGCTGTCATCAATTTCCATCGTAGATTCGACGAGTGTTTTTGATTTAATCCGGTAATTTGTAAAATTAATGGACCTGACGTTGTATGTTTTCTTTGGTTTCCCTTTTTGTTTTTTTAAGAGTCGATGAACGTAGTCGATGAAATAACGTTCATTTTTTCGTGAAATGGAAGGCAAACTCACCTATCGAACAACAAAAATGTATAGATTACCAAAAACGTGATCGACTTCTAGTTTCGAAAGTGGAATATAATTTTCAGATCTCCCAGTGGAATAAAAACTTTACCAAATGATCCCTGTTTTTCAAATTAGGTTAACTTTATCAAAAAAGTGGTACTAATAAGTTGTTCTTGAAATTAAAAGAGATTTAAGGCTGTCTATTTTTTTAGTTTCAATTTCCAAAAAAATCCAGTTTTAAAAAAAGGTCCGTTTTTTTTCGTTCAATGACTCTTTTCCAACTGTCTGTTGGCTATGTTTTTCGCTAATAAGCTTTATTCGGCCTAAATGGCTACGCCTCTGTGTCTTAATTGGTCCTCAGTTTGCTCAACAACGGTTCGATATAGATTGTGAATCTGGAAGATTTTTTTTAAATGTAAATCTTCGATATTTTCAATCAAAAACGCAACAATCAATCCATGAATTAGTGGTTAGAAAATAATCATGAAACTTGCTGTTGCTTGGACCATAGCATTTTTCAGACCAAATAGAAGTCTACATGAAGACCCTAAAGAGGCACAACAAATTTCACCATCTTTGTGATAAATGACCTCAAATATAAACGTCTCGTGTAGGTTCAGATGGTGTACTCGCACAGTGTGAAGAAAGAGCGAGGAGGAAATCACAGCAGAGACAGCAGACACCAGACAAGCTACAACCAGCTGGCCATTCTCATCCAGAGGAGGAATCGGATCAAGGGAACCACTATTCTGGGATACAAGACAGTGGCCTCTTGTCAGATTGATATGTCACTTGTGTTGCAGCGGGGAGCCATGGCACAGGTAAGAAATATTAGAGATAGTTACCATCGCTTTCTTTTTAACTCGAGAATTTTTTGGCCTCCTTGATTTTTTGTTTTCGAGTCTCATTAGAAACCGTGCTCGTTGCCTGCGGGTGAGTCAACAGTTCAGCCCAGAAAATAACCAAAAGATTTGCATAAAGTCGTTAAGCAAGGACGCAAAAGCGGCTCTCCGTAATGTACCAAGCAGCTCGTTTGTCGGTCATTTCCCTCGTGGATGAATGATCTTAATTCTGTCACATGGGCAAAGATAAAGACTAGTGCTAATTAGTTTCAGCTTTAGTTTCAAAGAAAAGCAGCTTTATTCATGGTGTAAAATAGTTACATTGATTGAGTTCACGAAAACAAATCATCATTATTATCATCATCGTTGATTTTTCACCTTCTTGGATTCGAAGGTGTTACTGATAATATTTGTTTCCATTCTGATTGCTAGTGAGAAAAGCCTAAAGCTGTCATTTCTTCGATAGTAATCGATTCGTCCGAATGTGTTGTGTTCTGTAGAGCTTAGCAGGCTTTATCAAATCGGAATATAGACTTTTTACTCGGGTTGACAACTTGTTAATTAGAATCACTTGGTATCATGATGCATAATGAACTCAAGTTTCTAAGCCTGTCCGGGTCCCATAGTCTTGAGGCAGCGAATTCGCCTGGGATGGCAAAGGTCCTGAGTTCGAATCTGACCAGGACCTGTTTTTTTTTTCAAATGGGAAATTCTCCATTTCAACAAAATAGTCGGTTTATTAATTGTCTAATGTTTTGTCGGCTGCTACATCTTAAAATTTTTTGCTGTATGAAGTTTTCATTGTACTTGCTTTCTATTTTTACTCCTGCTTTTCTAATTCTACTAGCTTTGACTTCGTATATTGTCTTTTTTTCGGACGAAATGATTTCAGTGTATATTTTATCGGCTTACTAACCTAATTTTGGGTCGTTCGAGGGAGACTTATTTTGTGTGCTTTCCTCTGGATCGCTAAAAACGGTTTAGAATCTCAATAGAATTTATAGTTCAATTTTTTTTTCATGACAACAATTTTCTTCGCTGGAAATTTGTTTTTGAATTTTTGTTAAACGCAGTCGAATGTGTTTCTGGACGTGTGTTCCGCAAATAGAACATCATTCCGGGCATATTTTTGAAGTTTTTTAGTCGTGGTTTCTTCGAAAATTTTACCTTTTTCATTGGATTTAGCGGCTTTCTTTTCCTTTTGTCTTTTAGCTTGCAATGCTATTTTTGTGGTATCGCAAGTGAAGCGAAGCTCCGCTTCGCCTTTGTGTTAATTTTTGGATAGATCCTAAAGCGGTCATTGATTTGTCCGAGATAGGGAAAGGAAAGCGATGAAACATTGATTACAACTGATTAAAGACTAAAGTCAATACTGATTTTTGTTTGCAGGGCGTAAAGCGGCTATACATTCTATCAAAGCAGCACTATAAAAAGCAGAATAACTAAAGCAGCCATACTGTAAAAGTTGAACGAAAAATCAATCAGCAATGAACATTTTGGCAGTGATAAATATCAAAAAAAAAGGATTAAATGAAACAAGATAACAATAATTTAGGCAAACTTAATGAGACTGAAAAATTCGGAGTAAGCCTGAAGTGGCCCTGCATAGTAGCAGAAGATATCCAACAGAGAAGCATAGTTTTGTTTGAAGGCTCAAAGCAGGCATTCAGCACAGCAGATAGACAGCACTTAAAAATCAAGAAATAATGAGATTCTTTTATTGCAATTTTTAAGAGCAATTCTGAAATCTCGTGCAAGTTAACGAAATTTGTCAAATTGACGATGACTCGATCATCTCTTTTTTTTAAGCTAGAGTATGACCTTCTAAGTCCTTCGTCTTCATCCAACAAAGACAGATCCAGCTCTACAAATAACAGCGCATCACTTCAACAACAGAGTGCAAATGTACACCCACCCTCTTCAGGGACAGTGGGGGGTAATTGTGAAGTAGTGGGCAGGTTGTCCCTGTCTCACCTGAGCACTCAGCCATTTGGGCCCAATGGGGGAGCAGGGGGCAAACAGAGGGGAAATACTGGCAGTGCAGTTGGGTCCAATAGAAGACACACGGAGAAGGTTTGTTGACCAATATTTGTTTTGAGCTTTTTTATTTTTTGTCCATTTCGAACTGAAAATCAATTTTTTTGCTACTAGTACCAAAAAATTTTGTACCATAGTATAATTGGTCAATGCTCGTTTCGTTGCTTACCTTGTATCGCCTCTGGGTTTTATTATTTGACATAGCTATCATACTTTGCCATCCATGTTCATTGGCTGTTTTGCTACCCATCACTGATCGTGGCCTGAATTGAACTTCTTTTTAGGCCTTGCGACGTAGACGAGAGAGGGGAGACAGCAGTCCGAATGCCGAGCGAAACCGAGTGGCCAGATCCAATCTTGCCCGGGGTGCTTCGATGACCGGACAAGGGGCAGTGGGAGGGGGTGGCAATATATCCCCTGGTGATGAGTATGACTCAGAACTGTCTTCTCTCAGCGAGGCCGAAGACGATCACTACCAGGCGAGGGTAAGAAAAGACCTTTAGTTGTTACAATATAATAATAATAATACATTCATTAACGAATCTAGCACATTACAGACATTATTTATTAACACTAGCCAGCGTTTTTGTATTAGTACGAACCTTCTTTTTTGTCTAACCTAGCTCGCAATTAAAAGTGTTTACTTAAATGGAAATTTTGGGTGCCGGGCATCAAGCCGAATTGTAAAATTAGGGACTTCAAGCCAAAAGTTTTGTCAAAAAGTCATGAAATATGATTAATTTGAAAAATGTGTTGAAGAATTTCTCAATTTCATTAGCTTTCGTTTCAAGTTATTGGATTTTTTGTAATTCTTGAGCCTGTAAATGATGTTTAGGAATAAACAAAATGAAAACATTGTTGAAGGAGTTTTTTATGAGTATAATTTATGCATTTTAAAATCCGGCTGATCTAATCTAATGCCACTCATAAGTGATGCATTGTTATAAAGAACGCTTAATATGGTTTAATGTTAAGTAAATTTTTGAAAAGAATTATGTTACGGACGAAAATCTAGCGTTTTGAGGTGGTTGTAAGTTTAAATTTCGGCTTGAAGTCCCGTCGACTTGTTTTCCCAGACCCCGGAAATTTCACTGTAGCATTGGAAATTGCATAGCATCTGTTCTCTGCTTTATTTATGGCTATTGTTTTTAATTAAGCGTCATTAGCTGAGTGGTTTGTTGCTTTTTGTAGTGTTCTCGCTAGTGTTGCGAAGCGCAGCTTTACCTCTGTGTATAAATGTTCAATTTTGGTAGCGCCTATTCGACGGCCACTGTAAGGCTACAAGCATGTTTACCGGTGCCATTTGAGATCAATTTAGAAGGTCAGATTTTAAATTTTTTTCCGATTGAACCCTCAAATTTCACATAAACCGTTTCCGTTGAGTTTTTGTTCCGTTTATGAATCGAAACTATTAAGACCGACATTGTTTTCTAGTATGACTTTTTATCATGAAACAAACTATTACACGTAAAAAAAACTATTCAATCAAGTTTGTTTTGGCAAATAACGAGAAAGCTGAAGTATTATGATGTTGTAGTTGAAGACTTCCGATTTACTGGTTTTTGAAATTGAAGCGATGACTGTTTGGTGTGCGAGCGATGGGCAATTTCGGAGAAACAATTTGGGCGCAGGAACTTGCATCTGGAATACTTCCGGCGTTCACTCAATTTAATTTTATGGAATCTAAATTAACGTTTAGTGTAATCAGGGCTGCCACTTGGTCTCCTTTGAAAAGCCGGCCGGGTCCTGAAAGTCATGTTTGATCTTTTTTCTCAGACGACCCCTTTTTTGAAAAACACTATCTTTTTTGTGAATTTTTTAAGCCTTCTGACAAGCGAAAGACTTAGAACCATTTCTTTGATAATTTTTAGTTTTTAACAATATTAACGCTTGCGACTAACAAGCTTTATCAAATCGGAATATAGACTTATTTCTCAGGTTAACAACTTACATAACAAATTTGTTGTATAGCTTGATTTGTTACAAATTCAAATTCTTCGTCCTTTTTTTGGTTGCCTCGGTCCTCAATGCAAGACCGAATGTGGGGTATGGGGATGTCATCCTTAGCCTAGAGTTAACGACAACACTTAGCGCGGACAAGTTCGAATCCGACTGGGACCTGAAATTTCCCGTTTCAAAATATTGTCGACCTTTTGTCTGTCTGCCTGCATTTTGTCGCTTAGTTGCCACATCACAGTCATTTGTTATGGTGTCTGAAATTTCATTGTAATTGAAAGTGTTCTTGAATTTTTCCTGTCATTTGTAAATATACTAAGCCCTGGCTTAGTATAACTTCTCTTTTTGTTTTTAGGTCAAAAGCTTTAATCGGCTATTAATGGTTTCGGCTTATGTTATATCGGCCTAGTGATCTAATTTTGCGTCTCTTGAAACAAAGAAACATTCTATGTTTTTCTGCTTCCGGAGGGGGAGTAAGATTTTAGAATTTAGTTTACGGCCCAACGGGCATTTACCCAATTTTATCGGCATAGTTGCCGCTCGATGAAAGTTTTCTCGAATGTTTTTTACGCCGGAAATTGTGTTGCTGAATGCGTTTTCCTCAAACAAGCTTTTGGAGTTCTGTAGTTGTTTTTTTTTCGAAATTTTTAAATAAATTTTTCGTTTTAGTTCCTCTCGTTTCATTTTTTGTCACTAGCTTGAAATGCTAATTTTGCGTGGTGCGGCAAATCTTTTCTTCTGTTTTACTTTTTCACTTCTACCTGAGGTCCGTTTTAACCATAAAGTAGTTGCCACCCTGGTTTTTACCCCAATCCTTGTGCGGTCTTAAATAGTCTCTATGAAGTTCAATGGTTGGATTTTTAATATATAGATTTTATCTCAAAATGAGGTTTAAAAAATGACGTGGTCAAAGTTTTCAGGAATTTAGTTTTCCTTTTTCGCAGCTTGAAATGATAATAGTGTTCATCTTTCAATGTTTTAAGCGTTCAAATTGATTTGGCATTGAATGCGATTTTTTTTGCTCTGTCGATTTTGCGCCGTGCTTTTAGCGTTGTATTCCACCTCTAACAGTGCTGTTTTCCTGTGGTGTTTCTAAGCTAATCTTGCAAATTTCTTTTCATTGCCCAATTACTGCATTTAACTCCACCCGTTTTGATGTTCTTAAGTGATAGGAACTACACTGATCTCAAAATTTTTGTAAAAAAAACAATATCATAAATAGTCAGTTTTATTTGCGAGTTTCAGTTATCGATAAATTTGACAGACTTTGAAATGTCATCAGAAAATATTCCTCGAATGATCATCAAGTGTTCAAGTTTCAGCCAACTTGATTTGAGTTGATACTTATGGATTGTTACGATTAGAAAAATAGTTTTTACGTTCAATGTGTCGCTAGTATTCTTGAAATAATTTTGGTGTTGCTGTTTGTGTAGTCACGTGGACAAAGCTTCCTGGAAATGCTCGTTAGTAGTTACAAATGCTCGGCGTGAAAACATCCAGTTAGCGAATTAATCAGAAATAATTCAATTAACTTAATCTAAGACATTTTGTTTTCATTAACAGAAAAATTAAAAACTGAAACAGTTTTTTTTTTAATATAATTTGTAACGCAGAAGATTGGATGTATCTTGATAATTAGGCTATTGGATGTTTTAACTTTGCACGATGTGAATTGTACGCGATGGTTCAAAATATGTGTGAAGATTTTAATTATAGATGCAGAATATATGATGTTAAAAAATAATTTTGAGAAAAACATATCTTGAGCAATCGCGATTAAACCACTACTGATGTGAGAGTTTGCATATCTCCAGTTTTTCATCATTGCTTTCAACTTCATGCTCTATCTTAGTTTTAAGCTCCTCCCGGAATCATAGGCGGCTACTTTGAAAAAATGGAACACTCTTCAGCTGTAAAATCAGTAGAGGATTTAACCTCCTGGCCGCCCAAAGGGTCCCTAATTTGGCACTAGCTTACGTTATCTGGACATCTTTTTTCGGTCGACGGACTTAAATTTTTCCTAAAAGCGACTTTGCTGTCAATAAAGACGGGGTCTTTGAAGGGTGGATTTTTTGGTCAAAAGCTTCCAAAAACTACCCCCCAAAAACGATATTTGTTGCTGTTTTTAAAATTCATAAATCGCCTTCTTTTATAAAAAGTTTGAGTGTAAGCGCGAGCAGAAAAAACGCAATTTTTAGGGCATATCACGGTCCTAAAACTTCAGATTTGCCATTTTTTGCTGCAGCATAGAAAATTTTATAAATTTTTAGGTCTTGATAGGGGTGTGGGGGGATCTTTAAAGCAATTTGGTTAATAATTTAAAATAGAGTTTTGGAAAATCTGCTTTCTCGGAAAGTCCTAGATCCGCTGAGTAGAATGCTGTGAAGTCAGCACTTATCTGCAAAAAATATATTTTAAAATTTAATGCAAAGCTTTAATGCAAAAATTAAATTGCGATTGAATTGTTTGTTGAAATTATCTGTTCTAAAATAGTTTCTTTCCTACCGCTCCTGGATTGTGTCTACAACTAAATAATGCCCTATGCTCTCTATCTTAGTTCTTCCCCGCACTTATTCGATGCAAAAGTGGAAAACTAGCAGACCGGGCTCTTCGTTTCTCACAGCACTTGTAAAATTACAATTTTTAATTTGAATCTTTTTTTTAAATCTGTTCACTTGTTCGTGCTCATACCTTTAATTGCAATTTTGAATATCAAAAGTCAATTTGAATAGACTTTTGTTAATCGAGTTCCAGAAAATTCAAAGGCGTAGGATCAAAAGTCAAAGGCTTAAATTTTCAGAATAAAATCTTAAAGAACTGAAAAAGAGCCACGGTGCGAGCAACTGATTTTTTTTGTTGCAAATTCATAGATTTCTTCCTTCCGCTAATTCATGCTCGTATTGCTGAATCAGTCTTGAAACAAACCATTTTTGCATCATTTAGTTATTAATAAATGTCTGAAATATTCCTGGAGATGACGATTTTAGCTTGGTTTGTAAGGCGCAGTTTCGCATACATGTTCAAAACAAGCACTTGACACAATTGTTTTTGTCAAGATTGATTAAGCTTCCTAACTATAAAGAAGATTTTTAAAGGCGTAGCCACACCAGCTGATTGTTTCTAACTTAGGTGAAAGAGACCGGAGGACAGAAGAAAATCACCGGAGCTCAAATATTTTTAAATTTTTTTTCATTTTTTTGCGAAGTTATGACGGTTGAAAATTGTCAATTTGGCTAATGTGGGATAATTAATGCGCGATCTAGTTCGTCCTATTAATGCGTAAGCGGCACGGCCCAGTATCATCCGGAGTAGAAATCATTATAAATTGAACTGAAGCCAGCCATTTGAACCTATTAACAGACACTGCGGGGGAAGGGGATTCTCGAAATTATTACTTTTTAAATGGAGCTGTTAACTTTTAAGGATTTGCCAAGATTAGAGCATTCTTGCTTCGAGTTTGAACCGATTTTTGAAGAGGGAAAGTTTTACGGTCTCTAATTTGATAATGGCGACGAAAGAAAAATTAAACGATTTTTTTGATACTTTTATTGACAATTCACTGTGACAATACGTTACATGATATCGTTGCAATATAACGCTGTTCTAATTTAAGCGGCTGATCAAACCGAAGCGGCGAGATTTGCACGATTTTACGATGCGGCTACAGATACGATTATTTAATCAACACAAGCATGTCCCATACTTTCATTATTGACCGATCCACGCCCTCGCATTTGTTCGTATCTTGATCTGATTCAAGCATTATCATTCGTATTCCTGCTTTGCGCCATACAAGCACATGTAGTTATTTCATCTTCAAAAAACGTGAGTTTCTAGTTGCCACCTTGGTTTTTGTTTTGGGATTGGTAGGCAAGACACAATTGATCAAGGCTAAGCGGGTAGACTTCGAATCTAAGTGATCTTAATTGATCAAATCTAAGCGACCCTTACATTCAATCATGCTTTCAATAGTTTTGAACCTTGAGATATGCAATGGACTTGCAACGGTGTCAATAAACGAAGTGAAGAGGTGTCTAAGTGAAGAGATGATGATGATGATGATTTGTGATTTCTAGTATGGAATGGATTATTTTTCAGGAAGTTTTACACGCTCAAATATGTTTATTGTAGTCAAACTTTTGTTTTCTCGGTAGTTTTCCTATGTATTTCTTTGCTGAATGGATGGTAATTTACGCGCACCAAAACAGGGGCAAAAAAAAAACGTTTCAAAAATAGGTTTTAATTGTTTAGATCTCCGAGCGGAATAAAAAAAGGATTACTCCAGTCTTCTCAAATTAGGTTTAATTAAAAAAGAGTTATAAGATTATTTGTTTTTTTTTGGAAGTTTTCAAAAAACCAAAATTTTTCAATATCCGTGTACGTTGACATTTCCAAGTTTCGTTTGCCTTTATTCTTGTACTTTTATTCCGACTTCGAAAATTAATTTTCGGGTGTTATTTTTTCATCCAAAGTAAGTAACACAATTCATTTGCAGCGGCAATTCAAAATTAAATTTTCGGGTGTAATTTTTTCATCCAAAATAAGTAACACAATTAATTTGCTGCGAGAATTCGATCGAATCATTTTTTTTTTCACTTCTCCACAGAGGCGATACAAATGTTTTTTTTTAATTATTTTCTCTATTCATTGGACTATTTTTATAAGTGAAAAATGAATTCATGTATTTAAACTGAAGAATTCTCCCAGACGAATAAAAGAATTCATTTGATCCAATTCAGTCAGATTGGGCTAATTTTCAATAGCGGATTTAGGGGGGGGTGTGGTACTTGTAAGCTAATCATGCAAATTTCTTTTCATTGCCCAATTTACGGCATTTAACTCCGCCCGTTTTGCTTTTCTTAAGTGATAGGAACTAAACTAGTTCATCTTCAAAAAAACGTGAGTTTCTAGTTGCCACCTTAGTTTTTGTTTTGGGATTGGTAGGCAAGACACAATTGATCAAGGCTAAGTGGGTAGACTTCGAATCTAAGTGATTCTAATTGGTCAAAACTAAGCGACCCTTACATTCAATCGGGCGTTCATTAATTTTGAAGCTTGATATGCAATGGACTTTCAACGGTGTCAGCAAACGAAGTGAAGAGGTGTCTAAGTGAAGAGATGATGATGATGGTTTGTAGTATGGAATAGATTTTTTTTCACGAAGTTTTGCATGCTCAAATATGTTTATTGTAGTCAAACATTTGTTTTCTCTGTAGTTTTCCTATGTAATTCTTTGCTGAATGGATGGTAATTTACGCGCACCAAAACCAGGGCAAAAAAAACGTTGCAAAAATAAATTTTAATTGTTAAGATTTCCGAGCGGAATAAAAAAAATTAATCCAGTCTACTCAAACTGGGTTTAATTAAAAAAAGTGTCCGTCATAAGTTCTTGAAAATTAAAGAGATAAAAGATTATTTGTTTCTTTGGAAGTTTTCAAAAAACCAAAATTTTTCATGATCCGTGTTCGTGTACATTCTTGCCTTTATTCTTGTGCTTTTATTCCGACTTCGAAAATTTTTTTTTGATTGTTGTTTTTTCATCCAAATTAAGTAACACAATTAATTTGCTGTGAGAATTCGATCAAAAAATATTTTTCACTTCTCCACAGAGCCGATACAAATGTTTTTTAAATGATTTTCTCTATTCATTGGACTATTTTTAGAAGTGAAAATGAATCCATGCATTTAAACTTATGAATTCTCCCAGACGATTAAAAGTTTTCATTTGATCCAATTCAATCCAATTGGGTTTATTTTCAGTAGCGGATTTGGGTGGGGTGGGGGGGGAGGAGGGTGACAGGTGGACGGCCCTTCTCAGGGATTCGAACTTCGAACCCCTGCCGAGCCTAAGGGTACCCCTTTGTACTATTTTGAGATATCCCTTTTCGGCTTACTGACACTAAAATTTTTCTAAAAGGAGCCTCCGGCGCCAATATTACCTAATTTTGAGGGGGAAGCGCGCCCCGGCATTTTCCAAAAAGTGCCTAAAAACGCCTTTTTCTGGTCTGCTTGTTTTCGAAAATCCGTACCCCCTCGAGAAAACCGTTGATACTCGTCTGTTGATTTAATCATAAAATTATCAGTCTTCAAAGATTCTTGAAAATGATAGGTTTTTAAGAAGACGGGAAAAGTCTTAAAATTTGTTCAGGCTCAAATTTACTTTTTCGCGGTTTGGCTTTTGATTAGAGGTAGAGAGTTACGTAGATCCAGACATTTTTATGATTGTGTAGTTTCTCTTTTCCTTCATTTCGACTTCTGATTCTTTTTTCAGGTTCATTTTTCAAATTACGCTTTCTGCTAATGAACATGTAAATTGGGCAAAAATTGCTCATCAGTATGGTTTAAGAAAGAATATTGTACTGGTAGACGAGGTGCACTGAAAAGAGTGTTCAAGAGAGAAAGATTTAATTTACAAGCTGACCGAGAATTTTGTGCCCCTTAGGTGTTTACCAAGAGTACTATTTCTTAAAAAAGACATGACCGTTTAATTCATGGTAAACACCTTGTCAAGTGTTTATCAAGAGTACTATTTCTTAAAAAAGACATGACCGTTTGATTCATGGTAAACACCTTGTCAAGTGTTTATCAAGAGTACTATTTCTTAAAAAAGAGATGACCGTTTGATTGCTGAGGGATGGCCTTAAAAATTAAGTGTCTGTTTCAATTCAATTTTTGAACAGATGAACTTTCTATTTGCATAACCACAGCACGCAATAAGTGGCTGTGAATTATGCGAATTGTTTGAGAGTCAGCTATAGTTACCTCTCCATTCCGAATTGACCAATCAGATTTTGTTTGTTCTGCTCCTGAGCTTCTTTTCCTCTTGATATTTGACAGACTTTGAAATGTCATCAGAAAATATTCCTCAAATGATCATCAAGCGTTTAATTTTCAGGCAACTCGATTTGAGTTGATACTTATGGATTGTTACGTTTATAAAAATAGTTTTTACGTTCAATGTGTCGCTAGTATTCTTGAAATAATTTTGGTGTTGCTGTTTGTGTAGTCACGTGGACAAAGCTTCCTGGAAATGCTCGTTAGTAGTTACAAATGCTCGGCGTGAAAACATCCAATTAGCGAATTAATCAGAAATAATTCAATTAACTTAATCTAAGACATTTTGTTTTCATTAACAGAAAAATTAAAAACTGAAATAGTTTTTTTTAATATAATTTGTAACGCAGAAGTTTGGATGTATCTTGATAATTAGGCTATTGGATGTTTTAACTTTGCACGATGTGAATTGTACGCGATGGTTCAAGATATGTGTGAAGATTTTAATTATAGATGCAGAATATATGATGTTAAAAAATAATTTTAGGAAAAACATATTTTGAGCAATCGCGATTAAACCACTACTGATATGAGAGTTTGCATATCTCCAGTTTTTCATCATTGCTTTCAACTTCATGCTCTATCTTAGTTTTAAGCTCCTCCCGCAATCATAGGCGGCTACTGTGAAAAAATGGAACATTCTTAAATTTTTTCAAAGCTTTAAAATCAGTAGCGGATTTAACCCCCTGACCGCCCAAAGGGTCCCTAATTTGGCACTAGCTTACCTTATCTGGATATCTTTTTTCGGTCGAAGGTCTTAAATTTTTCCTGAAAGCGACTTTGCTGTCAATAAAGACGGGGTTTTTGAAGGGTGGATTTTTTGGTCAAAACCTTCCAAAAACTACCCAAAAACGATATTTGTTGCTGTTTTTAAAATTCATAAATCGCCTTCTTTTATAAAAAGTTTGAGTGCAAGCGCGAGCAGAAAAAACGCAATTTTAAGGCATATCACGGTCCTAAAACTTCAGATTTGCCATTTTTTGCTGCAGCATAGAAAATTTTATAAATTTTTAGGTCTTGTTAGGGGTGTGGGAGATCTCTAAAGCAATTTGGTTAATAATTTAAAATGGTTTTGGAATACTGCCTTCTCGGAAAGTCCTAGATCCGCTGAGTAGAATGATGTGAAGTCAGCACGTATCTGCAAAAAATATATTTTAAAATTTAATGCAAAGCTTTTTTAAAATTAAATTGCGATTGAATTGTTTGTTGAAATTATCTGTTCTAAGATAGTTTCTTTCCTACCTCTCCTGGATTGTGTCTACAACTAAATAATGCACTATGCTCTCTATCGTAGTTCTTCCCCGTTCTTATTCGATGCAAATGTGGAAAACTAGCAGACCGGACTCTTAGTTTCTCACAGCACTTGTAAAATTACAATTTTTAATTTAAATCTTTTTTTTTAAATTAAATTGCGGTTGAATTGTTTGTTGAAATTATCTGTTCTAAAATAGTTTCTTTCCTACAGCTCCTGGATTGTGTCTACAACTAAATAATGCACATTGCTCTCTATCTTAGTTCTTCCCCGCACTTATTCGATGCAAATGTGGAAAACTAGCAGACCGGACTCTTAGTTTCTCACAGCACTTGTAAAATTACAATTTTTAATTTGAATCTTTTTTTAAATCTGTTCACTTGTTCGTGCTCATACCTTTAATTGAAATTTTGAATATCAAAAGTCAATTTGAATAGACTTTCGTTAATCGAGTTCCAGAAAAATCAAAGGCGTAGGATCAAAAGTCAAAGGCTTAAATTTTCAGAAAAAAATCTTAAAGAACCGAAAAAGAGCCACGGTGCGAGCAACTGATTTTTTTTTGTAGCAATTTCATAGTTTTCTTCCTTCCGCTAATTCATGCTCGTATTGCTGAATCAGTCTTGAAACAAAACATTTTTGTATCATTTAGTGATTAATAAAAGTCTGAAATATTCCTTGGGATGACGATTTTAGCTTGGTTTGTAAGGCGCAGTTTCACATGTTCAAAACAAGCACTTGACACAATTGTTTTTGTCAAGATTGATGAAGCTTCCTAACTATAAAGAAGATTTTTAAAGGCGTAGCCACACCAGCTGATTGTTTCTAACTTAGGTGAAAGAGACCGGAGGACAGAAGAAAATCACCGGAGCTCAAATATTTTTAAATTTTGTTTTTCATTTTTTCGCGAAGTTATGACGGTTGAAAATTGTCAATTTGGCTAATGTGGGATAAATAATGCGCGATCTAGTTCGTGCTATTAATGCGTAAGCGGCACGGCCCAATATCATCCGGAGTAGAAAGCATTATAAATTGAACTGAAGCCAGCCATTTGAACCTATTAACAGACACTGTGGGGGAAGGGGATTCTCGAAATTATTACTTTTTAAATGGAGCTTTTAACTTTTAAGGATTTGCCAAGATTAGAGCATTCTTGCTTCGAGTTTGAACCGATTTTTGAAGAGGGAAAGTTTTACGGTCTCTAATTTGATAATGGCGACGAAAGAAAAATTAAACGATTTTTTTGATACTTTTATTGACAATTCACTGTTACAATACGTTACATGATATCGTTGCAATATAACGCTGTTCTAATTTAAGCGGCTGATCAAACCGAAGCGACGAGATTTGCACGATTTTACGATGCGGCTACAGATACGATTATTTAATCAACACAAGCATGTCCCATACTTTCATTATTGACCGATCCACGCCCTTGCATTTGTTCGTATCTTGATCTGATTCAAGCATTATCTTTCGTATTCCTGCTTTGCGCCATACAAGCACATGTAGTTATTTCATCTTCAAAAAACGTGAGTTTCTAGTTGCCACCTTGGTTTTTGTTTTGGGATTGGTAGGCAAGACACAATTGATCAAGGCTAAGCGGGTAGACTTCGAATCTAAGTGATCTTAATTGATCAAATCTAAGCGACCCTTACATTCAATCATGCTTTCAATAGTTTTGAATCTTGAGATATGCAATGGACTTGCAACGATGTCAATAAACGAAGTGAAGAGGTGTCTAAGTGAAGAGATGATGATGATGATGATTTGTGATTTCTAGTATGGAATGGATTATTTTTCAGGAAGTTTTACACGCTCAAATATGTTTATTGTAGTCAAACTTTTGTTTTCTCGGTAGTTTTCCTATGTATTTCTTTGCTGAATGGATGGTAATTTACGCGCACCAAAACAGGGGCAAAAAAAACGTTTCAAAAATAGGTTTTAATTGTTTAGATCTCCGAGCGGAATAAAAAAAGGATTACTCCAGTCTTCTCAAATTAGGTTTAATTAAAAAAGAGTTATAAGATTATTTGTTTTTTTTTGGAAGTTTTCAAAAAACCAAAATTTTTCAATATCCGTGTACGTTGACATTTCCAAGTTTCGTTTGCCTTTATTCTTGTACTTTTATTCCGACTTCGAAAATTAATTTTCGGGTGTTATTTTTTCATCCAAAGTAAGTAACACAATTCATTTGCAGCGGCAATTCAAAATTAAATTTTCGGGTGTAATTTTTTCATCCAAAATAAGTAACACAATTAATTTGCTGCGAGAATTCGATCGAATCGTTTTTTTTTTCACTTCTCCACAGAGGCGATACAAATGTTTTTTTTTAAAATTATTTTCTCTATTCATTGGACTATTTTTATAAGTGAAAAATGAATTCATGTATTTAAACTGAAGAATTCTCCCAGACGAATAAAAGAATTCATTTGATCCAATTCAGTCAGATTGGGCTAATTTTCAATAGCGGATTTAGGGGGGGTGTGGTACTTGTAAGCTAATCATGCAAATTTCTTTTCATTGCCCAATTTACGGCATTTCACTCCGCCCGTTTTGCTTTTCTTAAGTGATAGGAACTAAACTAGTTCATCTTCAAAAAAACGTGAGTTTCTAGTTGCCACCTTAGTTTTTGTTTTGGGATTGGTAGGCAAGACACAATTGATCAAGGCTAAGTGGGTAGACTTCGAATCTAAGTGATTCTAATTGGTCAAAACTAAGCGACCCTTACATTCAATCGGGCGTTCATTAATTTTGAAGCTTGATATGCAATGGACTTCCAACGGTGTCAGCAAACGGAGTGAAGAGGTGTCTAAGTGAAGAGATGATGATGATGGTTTGTAGTATGGAATAGATTTTTTTTCACGAAGTTTTGCATGCTCAAATATGTTTATTGTAGTCAAACATTTGTTTTCTCTGTAGTTTTCCTATGTAATTCTTTGCTGAATGGATGGTAATTTACGCGCACCAAAACCAGGGCAAAAAAAAACGTTGCAAAAATAAATTTTAATTGTTTAGATTTCCGAGCGGAATAAAAAAAGGATTACTCCAGTCTTCTCAAATTAGGTTTAATTAAAAAAGAGTTATAAGATTATTTGTTTTTTTTGGAAGTTTTCAAAAAACCAAAAAAAAACTAAAAAAAATTAATCCAGTCTACTCAAACTGGGTTTAATTAAAAAAAGTGTCCGTCATAAGTTCTTGAAAATTAAGGAGATAAAAGATTATTTGTTTCTTTGGAAGTTTTCAAAAAACCAAAATTTTTTATGATCCGTGTTCGTGTACATTCTTGCCTTTATTCTTGTGCTTTTATTCCGACTTCGAAATTTTTTTTTGATTGTTGTTTTTTCATCCAAATTAAGTAACACAATTAATTTGCTGTGAGAATTCGATCGAATAAATATTTTTCACTTCTCCACAGAGCCGATACAAATGTTTTTTAAATGATTTTCTCTATTCATTGGACTATTTTTAGAAGTGAAAATGAATCCATGCATTTAAACTTATGAATTCTCCCAGACGATTAAAAGTTTTCATTTGATCCAATTCAATCCAATTGGGTTTATTTTCAGTAGCGGATTTGGGTGGAGTGGGGGGGGGGTGAGAGGTGGACGGCCCTTCTCAGGGATTCGAACTTCGAACCCCTGCCGAGCCTAAGGGTACCCCTTTGTACTATTTTGAGATATCCCTTTTCGGCTTACTGACACTAAAATTTTTCTAAAAGGAGCCTCCGGCGCCAATATTACCTAATTTTGAGGGGGAAGCGCGCCCCGGCATTTTCCAAAAAGTGCCTAAAAACGCCTTTTTCTGGTCTGCTTGTTTTCGAAAATCCGTACCCCCTCGAGAAAACCGTTGATACTCGTCTGTTGATTTAATCATAAAATTATCAGTCTTCAAAGATTCTTGAAAATGATAGGTTTTTAAGAAGACGGGAAAAGTCTTAAAATTTGTTCAGGCTCAAATTTACTTTTTCGCGGTTTGGCTTTTGATTAGAGGTAGAGAGTTACGTAGATCCAGACATTTTTATGATTGTGTAGTTTCTCTTTTCCTTCATTTCGACTTCTGATTCTTTTTTCAGGTTCATTTTTCAAATTACGCTTTCTGCTAATGAACATGTAAATTGGGCAAAAATTGCTCATCAGTATGGTTTAAGAAAGAATATTGTACTGGTAGAGGAGGTGCACTGAAAAGAGTGTTCAAGAGAGAAAGATTTAATTTACAGAAGCTGACCGAGAATTTTGTGCCCCTTAGGTGTTTACCAAGAGTACTATTTCTTAAAAAAGACATGACCGTTTGATTCATGGTAAACACCTTGTCAAGTGTTTATCAAGAGTACTATTTCTTAAAAAAGACATGACCGTTTGATTCATGGTAAACACCTTGTCAAGTGTTTATCAAGAGTACTATTTCTTAAAAAAGAGTGACCGTTTGATTGCTGAGGGATGGCCTTAAAAATTAAGTGTCTGTTTCAATTCAATTTTTGAACAGATGAACTTTCTATTTGCATAACCACAGCACGCAATAAGTGGCTGTGAATTATGCGAATTGTTTGAGAGTCAGCTATAGTTACCTCTCCATTCCGAATTGACCAATCAGATTTTGTTTGTTCTGCTCCTGAGCTTCTTTTCCTCTTGTACCATTATTCTCTCAGACCGTCTCCTATACTATACTTTTTAATTTTATTCAATAGAACTATTCACTAAAATAACATATAAGCCTGTCACAATTTTCTACCTTGCACTTTCTATGTGTTGATTTAACCGTGATTTACTTGCAATTAAAATTATGCATCAAAATACTCTGATCATGTGTCAGTAGCTAAATGACTGTGACTTATTTGATATGGGATTATGGGTATTCTGATACCTTATTTATTCATAAAGAATGCCGTATTCATTAATACTAAAAAGAATTATCAGTCCCATTTGGGGTCTTTTTACTAAAAATTATAATTTCAACATCTTGAAATGAAACTGTTTTAATTCAATTTGATCGGCTAGAATTAGCAAATCAAGTTTCAGCACCATCTCAAAGTGTTTTTTCACAATTTTAAGTCGGCCTTTAAGTAAAACAAATATAATGTTTGACAAACGTGAATGACTTTTACTTTCGAAAGTGGATTTTAATTTTCATATTTTCCAGCGAAATAAAAAAAATCGCATTGATCTATTTTCTCTTATTCAGTTAGTTTTATGAAAAAGTGTCTATCGTGAAAGATTGTCAAAATTCGAAGAGCTCTTGTTCATTGACACTTTTCCAACTGTCTGTTGGCTCTGTTAAAAAAATATATGCAATGAAATAAATCGAGCTACAAGCAGAAGGAAACCGTGTAATAGTTAAAGAAATAGTAGTGTCTAATGAGAAATATGTAATGGGAAAAGCTTCAATCTATTTTATTTCAAATTGAGTCTTTGGAACTTGTCCGTTTAATTTCTGAGTAGAATTTTTGAAGGGGTTGTTTCCTCTTCTTTCATCTTCTAAGTGTCTTTGCATCTTATTTTTGGTATACGCTCTTTTTTCAACGACAAAACAACCATGCCATAGCTGGAAGGGGGCTTGATATAGAATATGCCAAGAACTTCTCAAATTAACAAAACGGCGATAAAGAGAATTTAGTGTTAGTGTAAAAGAATGAGGCGTGAAACAGATAAGAAACCTGAGTAACCTCCAATATTGTTGTGAACACATCTTTACTTCATATTTTTCATCCTAAAAATATTCATATGAACAGTAGCTGGAGGTAAAATTCGGAGGACGGTGAAGTCAAACGATGCCCAATTCTGACATTATTGTCGTTGTCCTGTCGATATCGGTCGTAGACACTTGAAAACGGACTTGAAGGTCCAATGGTGTCCTCGTGGGAGTAAATTTGTGGTTGTGCTTTTTAGAGACCAGTCTTAAGTTTCATATTGTAATTTACAGTTTTAAGTTTAATATTGTAAAACAAGTTGTTATTGTTATCAGGACATGGGATCGAACAGACGGAAGAAAGACACAGCAGCTGGAGTGGTGTCTGGATCAGGACATCACCACGCTCAGCCTCCGGTCACTCAGCAGACGACAGGGGCGACCACTAGTAGACAACAGAGGGCGATTAATTTCAAACAGAAACTGATCCGGGTATTGAAGAAGATGAAACAACAGCAGGAAGAAGGTACATTCACGTAATATGTTCAACTACCTTGTCATAACTACTTTTTAACAACTTTAGTTAGCGTTCAAATAGTGAAAGCTAAAGAAGTCGACTATATAGGCAGGGCAAATTAAACTGCAAGAAAGGGCTGAAAATTATTCAGAGACTCATTTTAAAACAAGAATCAACAACATGATTTTTTTTTGTTTGTGAGTTCAAATGTGGGCGAATCTGAATTTTGTTTTGACCCCTTGAAATTAGATGCTAATTACTTTTGATGATACAGCGTCTTTGATTCATTTTTATTGCATGGATCGAAAACCAGAGAAGGTGTCAGAACAGACGCAGTGAAGGAAGTCTTCTAGTAGTCATACGGTATGACATGTTGCCAAAAAATGTAGTTTATAATATTATATATTTCGTTGCAGAAGGCGAGGAGGACGGGTGCGATGACTTGGACGACGACATCCTGCCGGAGGAGTTGGACGACTTGGATGAGTTCGACAGCAACTCAGATTTAGACAGCACCCACCTTGCACTAGGATTGGGAGATGCACTTGGAGATACTAACTCATTGGATTCACACACTGCCGACCTCCTGCTTCCCACAGATATCAGGTGCGTTCACTTTGCGCTAAACTCCAAGGTTTTGACCCATATATGGAGGAGCGATGGAGAAGTGGCTAAGGTCTCCGCCTCTTAATCGGAGGGTCGGTGGATTGCGGCCCACCATCGTCCGTGTTAAAAAAAAAGACAGCTCAAAAACGTGAATAGCTGAAAAGCTCGTCTGTTGGTCCCAACCCGTGTAGATGAACCCTTTTAATTTTAATCATTGAAAATCGTAAAATTTTCTATATTTGATTTAAAATTTATTTTACTCTTTTTTTCGATGCTTATCTTGGATGTATTCTTTCCATTGCTGTTTTTGAGCTTCCATTGAACTGGATTGATCTGTTATGCTTGAGAGATAGAGATAACAAGAGAAAAAAATGGAAAATTACAATTGTATGGTTATCGTGATGTCGTGATCTAGTCTATCACTGCACTTTCCACATGGTTTCTAGCGGTGAAATCGAAGTAGAAGGAGATTTCCAGTTTCCAGTGATAGTGTCCTAGTCGTAGTGTCTCTATATCACACTCAAGAAGGCGTTTTGCATGTGTTTTAATACTAGGTTAGGGGCCAATTTTCTGGCGTGCGTAGCTTCAAATGAAGTTACATACCCGGATTTAGCCGGTAGTTATAGGTTAGTGAGAAAATTGAGAAAAAATTCTGTGAAAAATTGTGATTGCTCAATTATATTATAGTTATGCTCCAGCCTATGCTGGTAGTTTAAAGATTAAGTCCAGTTACTCGGACCATTTTAGTTAAGAAGCCAAGTAATTTTGTGGCGTGAAAGTTTTCGATCCCGCTAGCATAATCATGCTTAAAGATATTCTCCCAGTTGTCGCTATAGAAATGTTCAATGTCAAGTTTTAACTTATATTTGAGGGACTGTCTAATTTTCCAATTGAATTTTTGTAGTTGAAAGTATGATGGTTGGCCCAGTGTTCTCCAAGTAGCTCGGCTCAGTAGCAACCCGAAGGAAACTGGATGGGAAGCGTTTCATTATGTTTTCAGATCGGAAGATTTTTTAATTTGCATAAATTTGTTTTGTCATTCATTTGAAAGCACACTAGTTGTTCTTAGTTTGATGTTTTACTCGCAGTGGTCGCGAGTTTAGTTATTCCCGGTGTGATTCCGGGCGCCTAAATAGGATCTGTGTAGTTGAGGATTGCTTTATTTTTTTGTAGTTTCCTTTTTTGTCTTATTACAGTGTGCATATAAGTTGGGTTTGAGAAGTAACCTGATAACAAGTTTGGAGTTAGGAGTGCACGTAGCCTGGTGCCTTGTTAATGGTATGTTTCTATTTCTCAGCCAGTTAATGGGGCTGTGCCATTTTGGATTCCTTGCTTCCGTTAAATTACTAATGATGGGCCTTGGCTTCATTGGGTTGTTTTGTCTGCGCATGTCGGCATAAGAGACATATAGAGGTTAAATAAGACTGGGGATAACAGCTTGTTTCATTGTTCGACTATTAGTGTTCTCTGACATAGTTTGGCCTTTCTCAAGCCAGCTTTGGTATAGAATGAGATGCAGTTAAGGCATTTATTGTCAATATTTCTTGTTAAAGTCGTGTTCGTGTCCTTGAAAATAGCTTGAAAGTAAAATCAGGTAGTAGTAATTGATGCTCAACAAGATTTGCGAAGCAAAGTCAAGACAGATTATTTCAACATTGATCAATATTAATAAATGCAACGGAAGTTTAGAACCACCCCATCCTCTTTGAACCTCTGTTTTTTAAAAAAGCGGGTATGTCGTTTTTCTGAAATATATATTTTTGGAAAGTTAGGGCCCTTAATCAAGAAAAGGCCGACGGAACAAATACGGCAAATTTTTGAAAATCGAGCGTTCTTCCCATTTGACAAAACATTAGATCCTGCTCTTGCTAAGAAGAGCTCACTTAGGTTTTGTGCTGATTCTTTATTTCAAGGAAAATATAATTTTAAATTGTCATTCCCTCCAATTTATTGATTTTTGGGCTCTTTTTCCTTCGAACGATGTCTGGTTGTTATCAAAATGGGCTAGCCGACTAATTAGATCATCACAAACATATTTAGTCTGCATACTTAACCTTGTAAAACCCCTCGTTACACCGTAAAATTGATGTCTATCGAAGGTGTATATGTGAGGGGAGGGAGGAAAAAGAGCCCATTTTTGAATTGAAATGGTCGATAATGATTTGCCTCCATGTTTTTGTTACTTTTTTAGGCCGGAGATCAAGCCCTTTTTCAACAGTCACGTGCAGTTGAATGAGGACGACAATGATAATCGAGGGGACATTACAGGGACAGGAGACGGGCAGGGTGGGGGAGGAGGAAGTGTAGCTAGTCAGTATCAGATGATGCAGGGGGTAGAATATACCAGAGATAGAGACAGGGAACAGCAGAGTTGTGGCTTACCAGGGGGAGCAGACACAGGTACAACGTGCAAGCGCTTTTTTGTCATTTCTATCATTATCTTTTTCCTGTAAATTTTATCTTGTGAAATTTTGTCCCACAAATGTCTGATTCAGAGTCGATGAACGTCGTGAAGACTCTTATATAGGTCTTGGTCATTTTTTGTTTTGTTTTTATTTCAGGAAAAAGTATTAAAATGCTCTAACAACTACAGAACTGCATTCATTTGTTTCAATGCATTTATGGATACACTTGAGTATGTGTGGTTGTTTAACAGTATTGAACGCAGTGAAGACTCCTTTATAGGTGCTGCTGATTTTTTTTTCAGGAGAAGTCTTAAAAGTCTCTAATAACTACAGATGTGCATTCATACATATTGATGCATTTATGAATGCACTTAGGTATATATGCACTTTTTGAGTTCAATTGATATTCATCTGCTAAAAGTGACGTACATAGCACTCTCCAAATAAAAACATGGAATTGGTGCGAAAAAACGAACAATTTCTAGTTTCGAAAGTGGAATTTAATTTTCAGATTTCCAGCGGAATGAAAACTACCTGTCGATCCAGTTTTCTCAAGTTGGGTTAATGTTCTCAAAAAAGCGCCAATTACATATCGTTTAAGTAATTCAAAGAGCTTAAAGGGCAGCTCTTTTTTTCTGTGAATTTTGAAAGTTGTTATTTTTTAACAAAGGCAGTGTTTTTTTCTTTAATTGGGTTCATTACTCTTTTCTAATCTTCGACTATGTTCATGTTTTTGTTTACTTGTTCAATTTGTATTTCTTTTAGTAATTTGTATTTCTTGACTTCGAATAATTTCCTTTTTTTAGTTTCAGCTTGAAAAATGTTTCGGCATGAATGATTTCGCCGTATATTTTATCAGCTTACCAACCTTTTGGGTCGTTCCGGGGAACAATAACTTGTATGTTTTACTCCGGATAGCACAAAACGTTATAAATCTCAGAATGGAATTTATAGTTCAAAGTTTTTCATGACAACCATTTTTTTCGCTCAAACTTTTTTTTTGAAGTTTCATTAAACGCCTTCGAATGTGTTTCTGGACGTGTTTTCCGCAAATAGAACATCATTTCAGGTAACATTTTGAAGTTTTTTAAGTTGTGGTGTTTTGAAGTTTTTCCCCTATTTTTTGGGATTTAGTGGCTTTTCTTTCCTTTCCTGTCTGCTAGCTTGCAATGCAATTTTTGTGGTATCGCAAGTGATGCGAAGCTCCGCTTCGCCTCTGTGTAAATCAGTTGAACTGTGAAGGTTTCCTTGCAAATTGCCATTTTTCTATTGCAAGTTAAGCGGCAAACACTGATTCACGCGCACAATACCTCGGTGGTGCCGAAAAATATTTTGAGTACTGTTTCTACTCATCTCAAATCATTGACAATTAATTAAACTCAAATGAGTGGAAGTGCAAAACCAAAATCGGTCATTTAAATTGATACCGCTTGCTAAGTAAACCAAAGTTCCCCGAGCGCAACGTCGTAAAAATTTCTAAACAAAGATATAACACAGCATTATGTTGAATTTTCTTCTCGGTTTTGCTCCGAAACAAAACGGTATTCACGCAAAACCGTCAACGATTCACCAAAACAACTCCAAATTCCCAAATATGATCAATATTTGAGACTGTTGAAAACATTTTCACTTTAGGCTTTGTTGTACTTCCCCATTGTGAAGTTCACGCTCTGATTGGTTAATTGTTTTGAGTCTGCCAAAAAGCCGGTCTACTAAAAACACTAGACCCTTCTTTGCAGTAACGATGGTTACGCCATGAATTTGGTCCCTAATCTCTCTAATATTGTAAGCAATTACTGAGTGGGCGCACTGAGCAAAATGGTCCAACAGCAGAACAATAATGAAGTTGCAATTGACAGTGTTTTCTACCTCGCTATTAATTTTTTTGACGTGAATACTAGCTCAGTAAAATCATTCATATGTAATCCCACTGCAGCTGAGACATGGTTTTTGGTTACTGCAGTGTGGCCCATTTTGATTTTTTTGGAGTGCGGTAAAAAAGAAAACGATCTTTATTTCTTACACAAAAAGTAGACAGAAACTATATTAACCAATCAGAATATGTCCGGTTTTGGGTTCTTTGCTTCTGTCAAATTACTGATGATTGCCCTAAATTTCTTTGGGTTGTTTTGTCTGCGTATGAAGGCATTTTAGACATAAATACGTTAAATAGTACGAGGAATAACACATTGTTTCAGTTTAGATTTAGTGTCTCTGAATTCTATATGTATGACCTCTACTTTTTGGTGTCTACTTGATGTAATTCTTGGTGGAATCCCTCATAGGCGAAAAAAAATCAGCCAATCAGATTTCAGTATCAAAGATTTGGAAAAAAAGCTTGAAAATCTCAAAGAAAGTAAACATTTCCAGGTACTTGATATTAGTATTGGCCGAATATAAAAACGGCAGAAACGCGCAAAAATTTTTAAATGTCATTGATCGCCGGCGAATTGAAACAAATTTTTTATGAGTCCTTGGCCCATGAGAAAAGCTCCCTAATTTTTTCTAAGTTGAAGAAGATAGTTCTTTTTGCACAACTACAGTGCGAAAATTGTGGCGGAAAAAGGTGTCTGAGTTGTTTGAATTTCATTTAGTTTTGAATTATTTTCGTATTTACCTGTTTGCCCTGACAGCTGTTAAGACGAAAACGGTTTTAGTGGGATTTAAGACGACGCTACTTACTATAACGGATCAGTTGAGCAATCCCACCCCAATTCTCGCGTGGGGGGAGATAGCTCATTAGGTACTTGAGACCTGTGTATAACCACTTGAAATTAGTTTCAATGATATAAAATTAAAAACCAGATTCTTCAACGATAAAGGAACGCCGATATGTACAATATCAAAGCTCAAAAATTACATTCAGAGTGAAAAAAAATCTATAAAACTGAGACTCAGTTTTTTCTGCCCTGAATGGAAAAAAAGCTAGGACCAATTTAACATCCTCCCGCCACCCCCAAATCTGTTTAGGGGGAGGATGTTAACTTGGCTCTAGTTAGAATTTTCAGCCAATCAGAATAGAGCATTTTACATACAGCGCTAAGTAGGTTTAAATTAAAATGAACGCTGGGGTTGAGGATCTTTACTTGGTCCAAAAGCTATGCGGAGAACAGTTTTTGATATTCAGATACAAGGTTAGAGCTAGAGCACCAACCCTGAGGCAATTTTCGTCTTAATTGCATGTCTTGTCATATTTACCAAGCACCAGGTCTCTGTCCTGCTAAAAATTACTTTTCTTGATATGAATTGCATCAAAACGTGTCAGTGTGAACATGTGAACAATTTTTGAACAGCTTTATTTTGTAATTTTACGAGGGGGTGGAAAACTGGAAAAGAGCCAGAAATGAGGCATTTTCAAGCTCAGGCATTTTACTCTTAACGAATTTAATGCTGGATTCGCATAAGGCTCAAAAATTCCTTTTCAATATTTCGATCTCCATAGTAAATTAATATTTGGGTCTTATGCAGGGGCGGATCTAGGATTTTCTTGAGGGGGGGGCGGATTTTCAAAAAAATTACGAAAATTTTGACCACCTTTTTTTTGGTCGATCAGATTGATTTTCAGAGCTCTCCGAAAGCAGTAAAAAGACCCTGTTTTGGCCAAATTTTCTGCGCCGCAGGCAATTTTTTGAAAAAACAGGTCAAAAAAGCCGTTTTTGGGCACTTTTTGGAAAAATTTGACAAAAAAAACGCGTTTTTTTTGGCCCGCGCTCCCCCTCAAAATTAGTATATATTGGCGCCCAAGGCGCCTTTAGAAAAATTTTAGGGTCGGTCGGCCATAAATGGATTTCTTAAAAAGTACCAAAGGGGGGACCCTTTGGGTTGGCAGGGGTTCGAATTCCTGAGGAGGGGGGCGGTCGCCCCTCCCCCCTAAATCCGCCCCTGGTCTTATGCACAAAACGGCCCAATTTCATTATTTCTACATCTCTTGAACTGAAATTATTTTGGATGAATTTGATTGGCTAATTAGCCGATCTAGTTCTATCGACATTTTCTGTCATTTCAATTGAAATTTCAAGCAGATAAAATTATCAGCCGAAATGATAATGAAAATTGAATTTTGCTTGTCTGGGCAAGGTTTCACAACTCACAAGTGACTCAAAATTAATTTGATAATTTGACTCAAAGCTCCATCTTTTCGGCAATTTCGGCTAATATTTTTATCTGCTAGAAAAATTGATCGGAATGCCTGAGCCTGACCGTGTAACTTGAATTTGATTGGCTAAAATTTCCCAATCAAATTGATCGCATAATTTCCAGCTTACGATGTCGAAAAATTGATTTTGGGTCGTTAAGTGCATAAGACCCTAATATTTTTTGGGAGACAGCCGAAAATGACTCTTTCTAGGATAAAATTGAAGAATATTTGTTATGGTTCGGTGGGTGTATTGGAGGAAGAATGGGGGGGGTAGTAAACGAGGCTCTGATTTGGTGCGTGTGAATGGTTTGTTCAATAAAAATAGTTCCCACAATCCTGAATAGTTGAAAAGATAATTGAAGAAAGAAAACTCGTAGTAAGCTGTAAAAATAAATATTGATGCCACCCAGGCTCGAACTGGGGACCTTCTGCGTGTAAAGCAGACGTGATAACCACTACACCATGGCACCTTGACGTAAAGGAAGATAGTGGTTCTAATAACTAAGATTATTCTACTTGTGTTATTATAAGCTATGAAGCGTTGAAATACAACTGCTCAAATAATACGTGCGATATACCTCAAACATGACATGACAAAATTTAAGATCATTTATCCACGAGGGATAGGACCAACATACGAGCTGTACAGCTCATCACGGCGAACCGCTGTTGTGCCCCTGCTTAAGAAAAATCGGGACTAAGTTGATTTGAATTGACAATTATGATAGACGCGGTCCCGGAAAGTATGCAGGTGCCGTATGAAAAAGACGAACCCCGGCCTATTAGCATGTGTGCCGATAAGCATGCATGGCACCATGTAAAAGAATGCAGTTTGAAGATTCTCTTTTCAAGTTTTG